CCCCCCCCCCCCCTGGGAGTCAAAAACGGTCCCATCCCCCGGGCATGGGAGGGGCAGGGGGGAGTAATTCTTAAAAATATACACCCCTTAGATAAAGTTTTCATCTAACCTGGCAATTATCAGATCATTCTTTCTTTTCTGCTGCCTTTCAGATTCTACACTTTTTCTGAACCATAATATAATATTAATAAATAAATAAATAAAAATAAATGTTTAAAATAAAAATGACAATCATACAAAGAACACCAATTTTAAATCTATCTGAAAATTTGGAATAAGTTTAGTCTGGTTTAGATGTGGTTTAATCTGCTCAAGATTAGGCTTAGGTTTACATAGCTAGGTTCAGTTCAGGTTTAATAATATCAGGTTTAGTCTGCTCTAGAATAGGCTTAGGTTTACATAGCTAGGTTCAGTTCAGGTTTAATAATATCAGGTTTAGTCTGCTATAGAATAGGCTTAGGTTTAACTAGCTAGGTTTAGTTCAGGTTTAATCTGCTCTAGATTAGGCTTAGGTTTACCTAGCTAGGTTTAGTTCAGGTTTAAGAGTATCAGGTTTAGTCTGCTCTAGATTAGGCTTAGGTTTACCTAGCTAGGTTTAGTTCAGGTTTAAGAGTATCAGGTTTAGTCTGTTCTAGATTAGATTTAGGTTTACCTAGCTAGGTTTAGTCTTCTCTAGATTAGGCTTAGGTTTACCTAGCTAGGTTCAGTTCAGGTTTAATAATATCAGGTTTAGTCTTCTCCAGATTAGGCTTAGGTTTACCTAGCTAGGTTCAGTTCAGGTTTAATAATATCAGGTTTAGTCTGCTCTAGATTAGATTTAGGTTTACCTAGCTAGGTTCAGTTCAGGTTTAAGAGTATCAGGTTTAGTCTGCTCTAGATTAGATTTAGGTTTACCAAGCTAGGTTCAGTTCAGGTTCAATAATATCAGGTTTATTCTGCTCTAGATTAGATTAGGTTTACCTAGCTAGGTTCAGTTCAGGTTTAAGAGTATCAGGTTTAGTCTGCTCTAGATTAGATTTAGGTTTACCAAGCTAGGTTCAGTTCAGGTTCAATAATATCAGGTTTATTCTGCTCTAGATTAGACTTAGGCTTACCTAGGTTCAGGTTTAATAATATCAGGTTTAGTCTGCTCTAGATTAGGTTTAGGTTGCTTCTTGTCCTGATGCATCTCGGACAGTCCTTTCACCTTGCAAATAATAAACTATTAAAGGGACTGAAAATAATCAAGTTAAGGCCGAAAAAGAGGGATAACTCCATCGTTTTTGCTCAAATAAATGTTAAAGGGTAACGTTGTGAAAAGCTTTTAAAAAATAAAAGAACTAGCTCCTTGTCAAGCTATTTATCTACCTGTAACTCTGATGATGTAGCTAGCAGTATAAATAGGTTTTTATCTACCTGTAACTCTGATGCTGTAGCTAGCAGTATAACTAGGTATTTATCTACTTGTAACTCTGATACTGTAACTAGTAGTAGAACTAGCTATTTATCTACCCGATACTCTGATGCTGTAGCTAGCAGTATAACTAGCTATTTATCTGCCTGTAACTCTCGATTCTGTAGCTAGTAGTAGAACTAGCTATTTATCTACCTATAGTCTGTAACTCTGATGATGTAGCTAGTAGTAGAACTGGCTATTTATCTACCTGTAACTCTGATGCTGTAACTAGTAGAACTGGCTATTTATCTACCTGTAACTCTGATGTTGTAGCTAGTAGAACTAGCTATTTATCTACCTGTGACTCTGATACTGTATCTAGTAGTAGAACTAGCTATTTATCTACCCGTTACTCTGATGCTGTAGCTAGCAGTATAACTAGATATTTATCTGCCTGTAACTCTCGATTCTGTAGCTAGTAGTAGAACTAGCTATTTATTTACCTGTAACTCTGATGCTGTAGCTATAAGTAGTAGAACTAGCTATTTAATATTTATCTACCTTTAACTCTGATGCTGTAGCTATTAGTAGTAAAACTAGCTATTTAATATTTATCTACCTGTTACTCTGATGCTGTAGCTAGTAGTAGAACTAGCTATTGATCTACCTGTAACTCTGATGCTGTATCCAGTAAAAGAACTAGCTATTTATCTACCTGTAACTCTGATGCTGTAGCTAGCAGAAGAACTAGCTCGGATTCTTGTAAAGTGATCTCTCCTCTATACATATAGCTGAGAATCAACTCTAAATGTCTACTATCTACACCCTTAATTGAAAGTTGTTTGATACAGGGTGTCCCACGAAACATGACAATAGCAAGACGACTTGAAAGTCGTCTTTGATATTTGAATTTATTTGTGACATTTAGTCTTCTATCTACTTTAACATGTATGATTCTTGAAACAATTATCACATAATTCTCCTAGCCCTGGCATTTCCAAAAAGTGGTCTGCGTTTTTTGTGCTTTCAATATTACCGGAGATATAAAGAGTTTGGTTCAGATTTCAATTTTGTTAAATAAAAGCAAAATTGTCGAAATCTGAACGAAATAGTTCATATCTCGGGCAATATTGAAAGCACAAAAAAGGCAGACCACATTTTGGAAATGGCAGGACAAGGGCAATTTTGGGATTATTATCTCTAGAAATTTACTTCTAAAATTAGGTTGACAAATAAACGCAGCAAATTATATCAAAAATCAAGACGACATTCAGGTCGTCCTGCATACTGTCATGTTTCGTGGGACACCCTGTATATTATCTACTATTTTCTATAAAAAAAAACTTCGATAAGAAAACGAAAAAAATTACTTACAAGGAGAACTCAAGTTATGATTTCAAATAAAAGAGCGAAGAAGTACAGGTATAAAATACAAATAAAAGAGCGAAGAAGTACAGGTATGATTTCAAATAAAAGAGCGAAGAAGTACAGGTATGATTTCAAATAAAAAAGCGAAGAAGTGCAGGTATGATTTCAAATAAAAGAGCGAAGAAGTACAGGTATGATTACAAATAAAAGAGCGTAGAAGTGCAACTATGATTTCAAATAAAAGAGCGAAGAAGTGCAGGTATGATTTCAAATAAAAGAGCGAAGAAGTGCAGGTATGATTACAAATAAAAGAGCGAAGAAGTACAGGTATGATTACAAATAAAAGAGCAAAGAAGTACAGGTATGATTACAAATAAAAGAGCAAAGAAGTACAGGTATGATTACAAATAAAGAGCAGAAGTACAGGTATGATTACAAATAAAACAGCGAAGAAGTACAGGTATGATTACAAATAAAGAGCAGAAGTACAGGTATGATTACAAATAAAGAGCATAAGTACAGGTATGATTACAAATAAAAGATCGAAGAAGTACAGGTATGATTACAAATAAAAGAGCGTAGGAAAGTAGGTATTCGTGGTGGGAATTATTCACATATTTAAAAAATGAAAAACAACATGTAAAACATTTGAATAAATTTAATGAAAAATAGTATCGGCTGTATAGGAATAGATTTCTAGTTAAATATATCAATATGTAAAGGAAAGAAGTAAAAAAGAACATCATGTAAGAATAATTGCCACTGGTATAAAAAAGACAACATTTAATCTAGACTACTGGGATATATTTCCAAAGCTTAATACTGTCCGACCGAAGTAAAGACCTTTTATCAATTAAGCTAAAAATATTTCTACAATTGTTTGTTATATACACTGTCACACATCCTGACATGTGAAGCAGATCATTACAAATTAGAATTTGAACCCACACTAAAAAGTTGTTTTCAATTGAATTTGTTTTGAAAAATAATTAAATGAAGAAGACATTGTTGAAGTTAATCATACGAGAAAAAACATATTACATGTTTAAATGCTAATTAGTTTCCCAGACAAGTGTTCAAGTGTAAAACATATTAGATAAACTGTATATTGAATTAGAGTGTAGAATTTTAAGAGTAAAAGGTGTCGAAATATATCATTGAGAGTGTACTTGTACATTATGTTCAGTAAAAATTCTTCGGAATTTTACATATTGACTTTAAAGGTGATAAAGGTGAACCAATGACTAATAAAAGAGTAAATATAATGAATGGCATATCTTCGTTATATGAGTGCAAATTTCTAGGGTTTGTAGTCCCCTAGCAAGATGAGGAGTAAAGAGGAATATTTTAGTGAAATTTTTTTTTAAATTACCTTTAGATATATTACAGTACTGGTACCTTTATCAACGTGTGAAAACACTTTCTAAAAAAAACAAAAAAAATACAATACAGATATATACATTATACATATTTATATATATATATATCATATATATGGATGATAGTAAATTTTCAACTTTAATATCTTTGGCTAGGAATAAAATATCGTTAAGTCAATGTCATGCACACAGCTAGCATATTATGAAAAAACATCAAATCTAGTTACTAAGTTATGGCCTCAACGCAATTTTCGGCCTGACCTCGCATGCTTTAATTGGTTGTAACTTTTTTTTCATTAAGATATCAAGCTAATTTTAACGGCATATTTTTACTACTACCTAAAGTCTTAAAGATTAAATTTTAATAATTTTTTTTTAACTAATTTCTCATGTTATTATCTAATTAAACTTGTATTATTAATTGAAGGTGTAAAATTATTCCTACACTAAAATATTTTTTAAAAAGTCATAAACACATGCAATTTGTTATGTACAATTGATAAAAGGTACAATTTGAGTAACAACAAAAGCTGTTGCCCTTACAATAACTGAATCTAAACAACATAGTTCAGTGGGTTACAATAAAAGCTCTAGTTATAACATCAAGTAAATTCCAATAATGAAACTTTGCAAATCATTAAACACATTATTGGGAATCTAGGAAAAATAATGCGAAAATACCCTCATAAAAAATCGAGGTCAAGAAATATAAATACAATTTCGGAGCATATGCAAAAAGTAAAAAAAAAAACGTTAATAGAATTTAATCTTTTAGTAAGTAGTAAAAAAATGCGTTAAAATCAGCTTGATATCTTAATTAACAAAAAGTTACAACCAATGAAAGTATGCAAGGTCACAAGAGTCTGAAATTTTGGATTTAATGTTTTCTCTTAATATGCTAGCTAGGTGCAAAGTTTCAGATTTATTTTGTAAAAAAAATTGAGGTTGGGTGACAGTTTAACCCAGATTGAAATGCTGCATATATTTAGTTTTTTTTAATTGAATCTATATAATAATACGGAGCTCGTTAAAACTGTTGTCACATATTTTATGGTCATTTTTTTACAATTACTGAGATTTAGGTATAACATTAAAAAGAAAAATTGTCAAGACGGCATTCTATATATTCTTTTGATCTTTCCTAAGTTCTAGGTTAAATTGTATAGAAAGTAAAATACTTGAAAATAATCGGAGCAGATAGAGAGAACCAGTTTATGAGCCTGAAAGAACAGTCCTCCAGCTGAGAGGGTTACGTCACACAAAAGGTTAGAACCACATAATTTCTCAGCTAAAAAAGGTAAAAAAACCGTGGGTAGAAATGAGGATAAAATTCCTTTTCATAAAACTGACTATGTCTCAAATCCGTAAAATTCGGTTCACATATCGTTTTCTGGGAAATTGCCCATTGAGTAAACACTGAACATTTTTAGAAAGTTTTATAATGGATTACATATCAGAAAGAAAAACTTCTGAAAAAAAAGCATGGGTCTGTCAAAAAGAACGATTTTTGGTACTATCAATTTTGTACATAACTACTTATTTTTTTTATTATTTTAGGGTTAGGTTAGGTCAAAAAAGTTTCTTGGTCGAGCGCTGCGGCTAGGAAAGGCTAGGGGGCCGAGCGCCGCGGCTAGGACAGGCTAGGGGGCCGGGCGCTGCGACCAGAAGACCAATTATATCCATGTTTTACATGTTTTACATCTGAGATGTTTTACATCTGAGATCCATGTAAAACATTGATAGGAACTGAAAAAATACCCTGCAAACAAACTTACACTTTCATTAATTTCGTAATAGTTTCAAACAATTTAAAATACATATTTATAAACAAAAAGATTTATATTTTTCTCCTCATTCACCTGTCGAGAAGAACACATTGTGGTGATCATTCCATTTTAAACAAAAATCACTGGAACTACCTCCAGCCATTTTAACCTCTAAACAATTTAAATTAGAAAATATAAAAATTTAATGCATTATAATATAAGAAAAGCGTTACAAGAAATAAAATCTGAGATTGTTATTTAATATAATTGTCCGATCGTTAGACATTTTCTAGCTATGATTTAGCTGTGACTTCCCGCCTAGCTAGCCTGGGAAATCGCAGCTAAATCACAGATAGAAAATGTTTAACGAAACGGATTGTTTGTTGCCAGCTCCTTTGTTATGGAATTTTTACCAAAATCTGTTGTTGTTGGACGATTTACACCGGAATCAGCTGATAATATAAATAGAAAGCAAAACCTGTGCTTTTAGCGGCACCTAGCGGTAATTTCTTATATTTACTATTTACCATCATTTTAATATATATTTGTAAATTCTCTATAGGTGTCAGGCGCGCAACTAGGGGTAGGGGGCAAGGCCCCCCTAGCCTGATTAAAGGGGGTGGGGTATTGTGTGTAATTACCCCCTCCCCCTTAGAATCCTGGGAAAAGTAACAACACCACAAACCTGGGGGAATTATCCCCCCTTCCCCCACCCTGTAAAATCCTGTGGGCATAATTATTAATTACCCCTCCCCACCCCACGAAAAAAAACCTTGGGTCTATAAACGTCCATATGTCCGGGATTATAACCAAAAATGAAAAAATATAAACAAATTTGTTTTACTCCAATTCGCTTCATGTAATGCTTAGTTAAATTAATAGGTGGTTTAACGCCCCTGATTGTTGCAGATAATTTTTACCTTACAATCGATTATTTTAATCCAGTAACGTACTTACGCATTGCACTAGGGGGTGGGGAGGTGTGAAATTAATAGTCCCTTCCCCTCAGTATCCCAACTTAAACCGATAATTTGGTATACAATACATCATGAATGGGGTTGTATTGTATATTGTCAGGAGGGAATTGCCTTAAGGCCCCCCCCCCCCTGGGAAATCCTTTACTACGCCTTATCTCGTGTATTTGTTCCCAGTTCATATTTTCTATTTGCCATAATGCAGCCGGAAGCAATTTTTCCCTTAGAATTGGCTAAAATTTGAAAATTATTTTTACGAGATACAGGGTGTACCATAAAACATGGGAATTGAGACACGACTTAAAAGTTGTCTTTGATTTTTGACTTTGATTTAACTTAAAAATACGTATATTTTCGAAATTTCATACCTAGTAATTTTTTTAAGTGTCAATATATTCACGAAACCTCAACTGCACAAAAATGCATTTTTAAGTTAGAATTCAAAAATATTTTGTATTCTTTTTAAGAGAATTGTTCTGTAAGAAGTTTAATGCAAACATTTTGGAAAATGCAATGATTCAAAATTGCTATCATTTTTGAGTAAATTGATGTTTTCATTTGAATCAATGTCAGTAAATTCGTGATTTTTTGATAAGTAGAAGTTTTACTTTGACAGTCTTGTAACAGGTATAATGGCAATTGTATAAAGTATAACACATATTGATTACGTAATTGTTGAAAATACAGACAATATGCATATATGAATGTTGATTAAGATGGATGCAGATGAAGGAATGTTGATGGTGTGAATTTCTGTAGACAGAATATTGGATTGGATAGAATATAATTAATATCAATGAATATGGATTTAAGAAATTTGTGGAATTAGTCAGGGGGCTTTCAGACCCCGTTGGGCTCTGAAACCCCTCTAAATCCAATAGAGTTCACTGGTCCAAGGGGGAGGGCTTAGCCCNCCCGCCCTGAATACGCCAGAGAACAATGCCCATGCAAAATTATAGTCCGCTTCTTTTGGTTATAGAACTTGAAAAATACATATTTTTACGTATAGGTAAAACCTAAAAATTCCGAAAATTAAGAAATGTTAGGATTTTTTCAAACCTAAATCTATGTATAGGAAAAACTAAAAAATTCTGATTCATTGGATTTTTTAGGTTTTTTACATACGCATTTTTACGTTATTCCAAGTGGTTGTTGAAGATCTTTCCCCCAAGATTAAAACGCTTCAGTCCAACCTGGACAGGATGTCTCAGTTCCACAAGCTGGAGCACCTCCATTGTTGCCATCACCCAGTTCCTGGTCCAAAACACCATGAGGAGGCTCCCATTGAAAGTGAGGCCGTCATTCAATTATCAATTCGCCATATTTCAAGAGCAAGATCCAGAAAACATCCTGGCTCCAAACACATTCTCCTTCCTGGCACAGTTTCTCATCAAGTTAAAGAAGAATAACCAGTCCAATCCCAGGCTCTTTGACCTCGATTCCACACCTTCGAACAAAGGGGTCAAGATTGTCAGGCAGGGGACCTTCAATCCTAAGGCCAAACCTTTCCACCCTCCAATTACTCCAGGAAATGGCCCTCAGCAACCCTACACCATGTGCACGATCAAGGGGTATCAGGCCAGCCACTTCTCCATCAGCATGCGCTGTGGAGCTGGCAAACTGAGCTCCCCTGACATCTTAAAATTCATTTCTTGAACTTTAAAGAACTTATTTCAAAGATAGAATTTAGATACTTGCTTTCAATGATTACATGTGGCAGCGGAAAAAAGTCATTTTAAGTGCATAATGCATTGTATATGAAACAAATAACAAATATTATGAAATATCAGCTATATATGAATGCGACAAAAAATAATTGATGACTTTAGGTTGTAATATCTGATCAAGGTTACCAGGTGCACTAGTCAATCTCCAGCTTCTATATACTGCCATGACTCAGAAAAAGGGGCGTGGAGTTTAGTAGGAGTAACCATGCATGCCTTAAATACTACACAACAAAGCAAAATGTCCAGTTTTGATACAATGGTTGGCGAATATATCAATTTAATGAAGACGACTTTGATTTCAATATTGATTTAAATCAAGCTGTAAAACAGCATCTAGCATGGACAGTGTCCATTGGACACCCATTAATATAGAAGTCAAGATTGATATAATGGCCTACCACTGTAATAAACTTAAAAATTATTTCTATGTATACTATATCCTTCATCAAATTCAAGCTTAAATTGACAACTTTTGATAAAGTTTCCGGTTAAAAATTTTCAATTTATCCTGTAAAAAGCTGTGGTTTTGGTTGTCAGAAATAAGCATCACTTCTATTTACCGGTCATTACATTTTTTTCATAAAAAAATGAAAATGAAAATCAAAATTGGTGTCTAAGTGTATAAATCTAATTTAGAGTCCTTCCTGGTTTAAAGATTGGGTCTCTATTTACCTTTTTCTATGATCAAGAATGGAATGTGGACCTAGACCATAATTAACATAAATGATGATAAATGTTTTCTTTTCATTTAATATTAATTTAGATTAATGATCAATATCGAATTTATAATTAACATTAAATGTTTACTTTATCATGGCCGGGTTGTATTGTGTCCCAACCCAGCCTCTTATTTTTGTGATTCGCAGTTTTTGTTTCTTCAAAATCACCGGAGAAATTAAGGAATATAGGTTAAACTAATCAGATATATAAAAACTGTCCTAATATCTAGGAAGTACAACTTTTGTGCAATTATCATTTACAGTCAAAATTATGTTTTGCATAATTACACTTCATTATGCATAACAAATTTTTTTCTCAATTACAAACCCCCTGGATTGATAATTGAATCCTTTCAGTGGAATTATTAACCCCTGGATAGATAGATATCTGAATCCCTCCAGTGGAATTGTAAACCCCTTTGATGAATAACTTTATCCCTCCAGTGGTATTGTAAACCCCCTGGAAGGATATCTGAATCCCTCCAATGGAATTATAAACCCCCAGGAAGGATATCTGAATCCCTCCAGTGGATTTATAAACCCCTGGAAGGATATCTGAATCCCTCCAGTCCAGTGGTATTCTAAATTCCCTAGATGAAGATCTTTATCCCTGCAGCGATATTATAAACTCCGAGGGGGGTATTAAATTCCTCTAGTGAAATTCCCAGAAAGGATATATTAATCTCGAGTTGCGGCAACATATTTGATGGATATTAAAAGACGACTTTTAAAAACATCAGAAAACATTAACCGTTAATTTTTTCTTCAAAAATGGATAATATTTTATTGTTAAAATAAAAGTGTATATCATTTTCACATAATATTTTTATATTTAACCGTAAAATTTTATATTTAAACAATATAAGCACTCATTTATGTTTTCAGTACATAATAAAATCTGGGAGGGGGGGGAGGGCCAAAGTGAATAAATACTAAAGTGGAACAGACTATGGTAACGACGACAGGTTGGGCCATAAGGTTTTATTTGGTTTGGAAATAATTTCATGAAAAGATTTCTTTTGGAAAGTAAAGACTAGAAATAGACTAAAGACCCATGTAAATGTTGTCTTCAGTTAGAACTCCGAAATTTTCAGAATTAAAAATGTATGAAGTTTATATGTAAATGCTATATAGTCGCTTAATCAATTCATTGATTTTGCCTGGCACTTCTAAGTTATAGGAATTTATTTTTGAAAACTGCTTTGTTTTGTTCTTTCAAATCTCACTCCATTCCGAGATATGTTTGTAAATATCTTTAACACATCTATTTTATTATCCAGAGGTGTATTCAGGGGGGCTATAAGGGCTCATCCCACTCTTGGATCAGTGAAATATATGCTAAAGAAAAAGAAATGTAAGCCCTTCCTGTGAAAAAAAAACTTTAATACGCCTCTCTTAATATCTTTATAACTATGTCTATTGTCTAGTTCTCAACCACTCTTGAATCTGTCAAAATACAAAAGTGAAGACCAAGAGATATATTTCATTTTTCGGTATCACAAATTGTACATTCCATGTTTTACAGATTATGCATGCTGCAGGCATTGTTGTGCTGTCTGCAAATTTTTGTTCTGCAGTAAAATGGCTATAATTCACATCTGAAATATTAAATTACGTTAATATATGTTTAAATTAAATACAAATTCTAAATAAGTCTGTGTTTGTAAACAAAGGGAGTCCAGTTTCCTCTTGTACCGTGCACTCCGTCCAGACCAATTTATATATATATAAATATATATATCTATATATATTATTTAAAATACTTGGGATATAAAATGTCGTCATTCAGCTATGAGTTTGGCCCACTTTAGTATTCAATCACTTTGGGGTGTGCTTTAACGCTAATCAGAGTAGCACACATATGTAAATATTAATCTAGTAAATGAAGACGACATTGGAAATAAATAAACAAAGTACTTAGAGGCCGTTTCCTTTCAATGAACTTATGAATCTGTTAAATGAAGACGACATTTTAACAAAAATGCAGTAGTCCTCTGTATGAAGTGGAAAATGAAGATGACATTTTGCAGTAAAGGCAGTGGTCCTCAGAAGAAAGTGGAAAATAAACACGTTTTGTTGTTTTCAGACTAAAATATAAGATGAAGACGACATAAGGGATTACAGTAAGCAGTGGTACCAAGAATAAAGTGGCAAATGAAGACAATATTTTGGAAAAAAGTATGCAGCATGGTACCATTAAAAAGGGTAAAATAAAGACAACATTTTGATTGTGGAAAAAGCATTGCTGTCCCGCATATTTATGAGACGTTGTTTTCATTTACCATTTTTTTTTGGGGAGTACTGTATATTTATGAGAAATTGTCTTTACTAACCATTTATTATTGGTCTTTACTAACCATTTATTATTGGGAATCTTTGAAAAGTCGACTTTGTTTACCATTTTATTTTAGCAAGCACTGTATATTCACAAAAAGTTGTCTTTACTGACCAGTTTATTTTAGCAAGCACTGTATGATTTGAGAAAAATAAATTGTCCCTGACATGGGTACTGTTCCGCCCGTTTTTTCTGAAATGTCCCTGTTCTTATTAGTATGTTCTGTGAAAACAACGCACTGTTGAACAGTTGACTGACCTGAAGAAGGCAGAGGGAAGATGAAGAGTACCATGAAGAGGCCAAGAAAGGAAATAGGAAAGGGACAGATCCAAGCAACCAACCAGCAGCAGTCAGCTTATAGTTGGCGACCTGAACAAAGGGCTGCAAAAAACAGGGACAGGGACACTGGTCAGTGCTTCTAGCCTAGCTGGCCGGCCAGCAAGGACGGCTAAGCTAGCCCACTGCTCTGCATACCAGCTTATCACCCACCTAGTGGGGGTGGGGGGGGGGGGAAAGCCTGGTAAGAAACAAAATAACTCAAAATAGGCATAGCCGAGTTCCAACAGCCCTTCCCATCATAAGAGAAGGTTAACTTACCTAACAGTTGTAGCCCAGAACTTGAGTAAAGGCTTTGATGTTGCCAAGGAATTTCGAACCGAATCGTCATCTGGAATTGGGTTCTGTACCCAAGCAACTAGAGCTGGAGGGATCCAAGCAGGGGGGATACTGTGAGAGTAAGAGTTAGCCTTTAACAAATCTCAGAAACGGTTAAAAGCGCATTTGGATAGAGCATTGGCCATGTCCGCCAAAGGGGTTGAACGCCTGGTAATCTTTACCAGGTCCACTTGGCAACCAATGCCCGGGACAACAGTAGCAATTGCCTTCACTAGGGTGGAAGACAGGAAGCAAGTAGTACTGTAGCCTTTGTGCCAGATAAGCACAGACCTGGCATTATCAACCCATATCCTCACAGGGTTGTTCGCGCACCAGCAAAAGCTGCTAGAGACTACAACTAGTGGGCCTACGAATTCTAGGGCTGACATCATCCTACCCAATTCCAGTCCGGTGTTGGACTTGCTGGCTAGGTTAATTTTCCAAGACCAAGGTAGGAAAGCCCACCAGCTGTCTGTGACTATACCGACCCCTCTGTCGCAGTCTTTGGAACCCAAGGCTGCATCAGTGTACACTTCAATGGCCCATGGAGGCAGGCCGGCGTCAGGGTCAGGAATAGGGCCACACTCGGAGCAAAAGCAGAGCATTGTCAGCCAGAACCACAATTGACGTTTGATTTCTGGGGTGATGCAAGCTAAATGTGACCAATCATCAGAAATTGAGTTTGCCCTGATCAGGTGATCCACATTGAATCTCCCACCTGGCATTAGGGCTTTAATGTGTTGTATTTTCCCGACCAAAGTCCAGATTAAATGCTGCTCTTCGCTAGAAGCACGATATAACTCCTTTATCAGGTGTAACAATCTTAGCAACTTCTCATGTGGCAATGGCATTGTCCATTTGACCGTATCATAGTGGATGCCCAGGATAACTCCAGTCTAAGGTGCAAAGGACTTTTCTGGGTCATCCCTAGGTGCTAATTTAACCCCAAGGTGCTGTGCAACACTAGCCAAAGTGTCGTCGTAGTGCTCTAGTATGCTGGAGTCAAAAGGAGCTGCTGCACAACAGTTGTCCAAGTGTTGACAGACCTTGTAAGCATGGAAACCGGACTTCTGAATGACTATAAAGAGCACTATTTTCGCCAGCCGGTCGAATATTCCAGCGCTGCTGACTCCTCCGAATATTAGGCATAGTTCTTTAAATGCCATGGCACCCCACTGGAACCATTGCAGGTTGGTATCTTCCAAATTCACCGCCACATGCTTGTAAGCATCGGACCAGTCAACCTTACACATTTTGGCCCCCTTCCCGGCAAGGTGTAACACTCATAACCATTTGGTTGTTGATGACATCGTTGTAGGGAATTCTGCGTTGTCAATCCCTTCATTCACGGAACAACCCAAGGTGCGCTGAGATTTAGGATGATCCGAACTGAACCATTTGGTTTTGGTATTGTCATTATGCCGCTGAACTTTGCTGATTGAGGGACTTCTGAGAGGTGGACAGGTCGGTATGCAAACCCTTTCGCTAACTAGTCCCAAATTGCATCAGTTACTTGCACACCATTCTTGTATGCACTGGGTGCATTCATAGCGCGGGAAGGGTTTCTAAAATCCCCTTTGCAACCTATGACGGCTCCTGATCTCAAGTCAGAACAAACTTCCTCCAACAAACCTAGGTCGAAGAAACCGCAGAATCGGGCTAAAGAGTATAATTTATGAGGGTCAACTAAAGAAACTGCTGGAGCTACATAGTTGGAGGGAGCCTGGGCCCAGAACAAGCTTGGGAAGGTAGAGCTATAGTCATTCAATCTTGGTAGATTAAATTTTGGCTTGAATACTTTGTTTGGAGGAAGATCTGAAATGTTCAAATTTGCAGTTTCTGACCATCGCCGATACCAAAAAGCAAAAGTATCAAGTATAACCTGACTGAAACCTAGAAAAACCCAACTGTGTTTGTTGACAGTGTACATAAGGGGGGGGGCTGAAATTGACAAGAGAAACTCACCCAAATTAACAGAATCTGAAATAATTTTATTCGTAAAGAATAAACACTGATGGCGCATAGAATTAGTTTCAATGCCTCACTTTATTTTGACCAATTGTCTTCTTTCTTGTTCAACTGTGCGAGAAGTGGACGCATTGACTGGACTAATGAAGGATAAGATCTACGTAAATTGCCGTACTTACTGCACACCCAAATTGTCAGAATAAATTAATACACAAATAAAATACCTATCTTTTGCATCAAATAGAATAGGAAGATGACATTTAAATTCTTACTATCATTCATTTGTGCGATTGGGTGGGCATTGAATGAACTAATTGAGGATCAGACTTCGTACTTAACTCCACACACCAGCCAGTAGTGTAGATTAAACTATTGTCCAAATAAATTACCTAATATATTGCAACATTTGGAATAGGAAGACGACATTTTAACTCATTCTATCCTTCATTAAACCCCTATAAAGTTTGGTGTGATAGATCCTTTCATTAGATGTCGTCTTCCCCTAATCACAACATTGTTAAATTATTCCAGACTAGAATTAACCTAAATTAGCGTGAGATTGTCTAAAGCACAGTGATACCGTCCTCTTTAATAATAACTGGTTTAAGGAATAGAAAATATTTATAATAATAAGTTCCCCCAGCTAGATCGACCTTTTGATGTTGGCTTCCCACACTCATGTAGTTTGTTTGTTTGTCATTTGTTAAGCATTTGTTGCTGCTTTACGGGGACTTCATAAATCAGATTCTAATATTAGTACATATAAATGACTCATTGTGGACATTATTATACTTAAATATAATTTCAAATTAGAGTTTGGCTTTAAAGCAGTTTGCCATGAAATTTAAGCACTTATCCTTGGCCTCAGTAATACCCACTATGGATATCATAAACAAGGATTTCCCCTTTTTAACTTAGATAAGTTAGATATGAATTGGACTATCTGTGTGAACTGGCTAATTATTACATGATAATTAAAGTTTTGCGCTTTAGAAGTTCCCGCTATGGATTAGTAAACTGCTAAATTAATATCCGGTAAGAAATTGTAGTTAAATAAATAACATAGTATTTAAATAAAAGCGTAAATTTGGCTTAAGTGGGACTACATATAAGTTAAACCAGTTAAGAAACTGACATTTGATCACCAGCTGAAGACACAATCTGTTAATGTTTAGTGCGTGGATGGCTGGTCAGACAGAACACTTTTTGTGCCTCAACCCATACGTTGCAAACATGAGCTAAATCCCGGGATCCGTTTTTGCAACTGTGCTGAGAGGCAGGGTTCTTGCAATTATTGTTGTTATAGACGTAGCACACTCCTAGGTTGTTAAAGGTAGCTATCGGTCTGGAGCTGGAGCTGTTGCCCCTCCTGCTGTTGCTGTTGTTGACGGAGTTTTTACCTTTTGCCATTGTTCTGGCTGTTGTTGAAATTGTTTGAACTGTGATAGCTGTTGTTAGCATGGGAAATGTTAGAGTTCACAGATTTCCCTTTCCCCCTGTTGAAATGGTCATGGTCATGCCTCTGGATCCTGCCTGTAGGTACTGTGCTGAGAAGGTTGTGGGCAATAAGGGTCATCTTCATTAACTCTTCCTGTTCCTTAAAGCTCAGGATTGTTTCATCAAGGACTGACCGACCAGAATTGTCTTGCAAAACAGCATTGAAGAAGGCAGTTATTACCGAGACTTTATCTTTCAAGTCAGAGGCCACGCTGATCCACTTGTACTTATTAATTACTCTTAGCATCATGGTTCCTGTTGGATCTAGAGGCCAGAGTTGATGAAGTATGGTTATGAAGTTTAAAAATGAATCTGTTACTTCAGCCAGGGTACAGGGGTCCTCCCAGGCATAGTCATACATCATTTCTAAACCATCCGTACCTTTCCTTTTGATCCTTCTAACCGGTTTTGCCGCAACACATATGTTCTGTGAGAAGAAATTCTTCAGGGCTTGCAGTTTGGCTCGAACATGAAGATTCCCTATGGTTTTATCTGCAATCATGTTATTAGCTCCCATGAACTTCAATGGAACATTCTTGTATAAGTGAGGTGCCTGTTATAGGAACGTTCTTCCACCAGTCCAGCAGGTTTGATAGCAGGAGTCTCAGGAACCCTGCTATATAAAGTGTTTTGACTCCGTCGTCATCCTGTTTCTCAAATGATATAGTCTTTGGCGCTAGATCCCTGCTAAACAGAGCTGTATTCTCGCCGAGCTGGGGCGTTTTACGTCTCAATTCTATTAACATTCATCACACCCTCCCAGCTCATTTTGTTTATCTTATCCTTCTTGTGGGCCAACATTCTTACATCATCGGGTAGAGTATCTTCTAGCATTGAGAAATTGGTATCTTCTTGCATCTCGTCGACTTCCTGGATTGGTTCAGTAATAACCAGAGACCGTCGATTTTGCCTGAACAAGTAGTTAAAATTAGATTTAACTTAATTCTCACCTTAACTTGAAATTCAATTCCCAATATTAAAATTAAAACATAGTTGGATAGTCAAATCCAAATTTTAACTCAATCCACACTAAACTGAAATTCCAGTTCAGAGATAAAGTTTTTAGACTGTATAATTGTTGCTTTGTTTGAAATTGAAATTCCAGTCCAAGATTAAGTTTTTGGATTTAAATTGTTTTGTTCTGAACATTAAATTAAATTCCAAGTCAAACTTAAACATTAAATAGAAGGTCAAAGATTAGATATTTGGACTTTGTATGATTGTTTTTGTTTTAGGCGTTTTTGTTTTTAACTTTGATTTAAATTGTTTTGTTTTGAACTTAAATTAAATTCCAAGTCAAAAATAAATATTAAATAGAAGGTCAAATTTCAAGATTAAATTTTCAGTCTAAAGCTTTGTTTTGGTGTTTTAAGGAGTTTGTATATTGTACCTTTGAAGGTTAGGAGAGCTACGAGAAGGCTCTGTTCTTGGTATAGGCTGTGATCTTGACACTAATCTTTGCTGCTTAGGGTGGGTCGCTGGAATCAGTTCTTCTACAGATTTAATTTTCTCTCTCTGAGCATTAACTACATCGCCTGAAAGATATTTGAACTTGTGAGATTGGAAATCTGAACTGAAGAAAAGTCTAAGACTAATGTTAAGCCTTGAGTTATGACTCCGAACATCTAATTAAAGGGTATTTTGACTTTTGATAATTGAAACTATGCAGCAGCATAATTGTAATTAATTAATTTTACTTAAATCTTTTGTCTAAGGCAAGTGCTGAGCCCGTTAGGGTCCCCATGAGAGTTTGCTGTACTAAATTAAAATAATAAAATTGATCATTATTAAACTTTTTTGCTCCTTTAATGTCCAGGGTATGTTTAAAAAAAGATTATAATGGAATGTAAAGTTTAAATTGTAATACGCGATTTGCCAAAATGAAATTCCTCCGGTGGTCTCCAGTGGAGTCCAAATCTTAATAAGAACTTCCGTGACTCGCACTAATCGATGTATTTATACTTCAAACGGTCAGTATATCTTATTCATTTTACAGTTTATATTTGGATATTGGTCGTAAAAAATGCTTTACAAAATAATGACATTTAATTCCTTCACTTTCAAAACAAAGTTTTACAATAGATGCATTGAAAATTATTCAATATTTGAATTTAGAAGAAAAAAAACTTTCAATTTTTTAGTCTCCATGTCAACCCACACTCTACAGTGGCCAACAATAGCGAACATTTATATGATTAAATCCTGGGTTGGATTGTCGATGTTTTGGACAAAGTTTTACAAAAATATTTGTTTGCTTCAGATTTTATGCTATAGAACATATAAATTGAGATAAAAATTCAAAAATATTTTTTGAAGAGAGAAAAAAATACAATTTTTTTAAAAAATTGAAATATTCTATTAGGACATTTGGAGGTTAGAAGAGACACTGTTAGGATTATTGGAGGTTAGGATAGAAACTGTTAGGACAATTGGAGGTTAGGATAGAAACTGTTAGGACAATTGGATTTTTAGTAAATAAACTATTAGGACAATTGGATTTTTATTATGAACTTTAGAGGTTAGTAAATTAACTATTAGGACAATAATTGGGGGTTAGGTTACAAACTGTTTAGGACAATTGGATGTTAGTAAATAAACTATTAAGCCAATTGAATGTTAAAATAGAAACTGCCAGGACAATATGAGGTTAGGATAGAAACTGTAAGGACAATGGGAGGTTAGGATAGAAACTCTGAGGACAATTGGAGGTTAGTAAGTAAACTATTAGGACAATGGAATGTTAGGATAAAGACGGAATTAAGACAATTGAAGGTTAGGATAGAAACTGTTAGGACAATTAGAGGTTAGGATAGAAAATGTTAAAACAATTGGATGTTTGTAAATAAACTATTAGGACAATTGGAGGTTAGGATAGAAACTGTTAGGACAATTGGAGGTTAGGATAGAAACTGAATTAGGACAATTGGAGGTTAGGAGAGAAACTGTTAAAACAATTGGATGATGGTATATAAACTTTTAGGACAATTGAAGGTTAGGATAGAAACTGAATTAGGACAATTGGAGGTTAGGATAGAAACTGTTAGGACAATTGGACGTTAGGATAGAAACTGTTAGGACAATTGGATGCTAGTAAATAAACTACTAGGACAATTGGAGGTTAGGATAGAAACTGTTAGGACAATTGGATGTTTGTAAATAAACTATTAGGCCAATTGGAGGTTAGAATAGAAACTTTTAGGACAATTGGGGGTTAAGAAATAAACTGTTAAGACATTAGGGGGTTAAGAAATAAACTGTTAGGCCATTTGGGGGCTAGGAATTAACTGTTAGGACATTTGAAGGTAATGAGAAATAGACTGTTCGGACATTTATTGTTTGCGAAATGAACTTTTTTGGCATTTTGAGAATTACGAAATTTACTCTTAGGATTTCCAGAGAACGAAACTGCGAAATGAAAAAATAAAATAATAATAAATAATATCTTTTTCTTTACTTTTTATTTTTACCGCGAAATATATGCATTTTGTTTTCGCGAAATCTTCTCAATATGTTTTCATGAAATTCTCGCATTTTTTCGCGAAACAAATTGAAGCTCCAAGAATTCTTGCTCAATCACCTTTCTTCAATATATAAACATGAATAATAGATTGGACCAAGAAATGAATGGCATTGACATGGAAAAATGAAAGCAAGAAAAATAAATGATACATAGTACATACTTTGTAGAAAAAAACTCAGTGGGAGCGGTTTAACGAGCGGTTGAGATTTAGCCTAGACTCTATGCAGTCTGGAGTGAGAAATTCATCTTTTTCCTTAAATGTGTACATCCGCTAAAATCGTACTATTTATGTCAACATTTCATTCCTCGTTTGAAAACTTTTTTATCAGTTCAACCACTGAGAAAATCCAGTTTATAGCTTTCAACCGCTGGGTTTAAGACATAAAGGATAGATATATATTAGAGGGGAATTTAAAGAATCTCTCGGTATGATTTTTTTCAGTCCCTTTCAGCCTGAAAGGGAGTTCAAAGTGTACAAATCATGTAAATGTTCACAAATTATATACAGTAGAGTACAATAATACAGTATGTTCCCTAGACTATCCATTTAAATTCGAATTTTTAAAAGCTCTTAAAGAAACTTTATATTGAATTAGGTGAATAAAAAACATCATTTGATTTATAGTTATAACGGAAAATCATCGTTTGTAAAGTAAAAGGCATAGAGTCTAAGTGAATGATCATTGGTCAATTATGAAACCAGCTTATTTCATAATTTGGTTTTCTTTTAATATTAATTTAAGATTTTCTGTAAAATGATATTCCAGGGCCCAAAAGGTTATATAGCATAAATATGTGAAGTACGCCTGCAGTATGGAAACAGTACAACAAAATGGCCGTTTTACACTTTTTTCTAGTAAATTCCGCTCTAATATGTATTCTATTCTCTTTGGTTTAAGATCATTCGGCAACTTTTTGTTTTTAACTGCTGGGTTGCTTTTAACCACTTAAAATCAGATTTTCATGAAAAATTCAACTATTTTGTTTTCAACCGCTGAGTTTCTTGCTTTCAACCACTTGAAAACAGGTTTTCTTGAAAAAGTTTTAGCTTTCAACCGTTGGGTTGCTTTCAACCACTTTGAAACAGTTTTTAATGAAAGGTGTTTTCTTTCAACTGCTGGTTTTAACATTTCAATAACGTTTTGCTTTCAACCACTGCATTTCTTTGTCTAGACTGCATAGAGTCTTGGTGAGATCTCAACCGCTCATTTAACCGCTCCCCCTGAGTTTTTTTCTACAAAGTATATTTTCTGAAAAAATTTGATAATTTTGGCGTTTTTTAAAGATTTAAAACAAAAGTTTGATTCAGTTGGATCAAGCTATTTTTGTTTTCGGGTTACAGGGTTAAATATAGTCACAAAAGTTTGAAATTAGAACCTCTTGGCAACTAACACCACAATTTCCTAGATTTAAGAATCAAAATTACAACACGGTCTATATCTTATCGCTCAAAGATGATTCCAGAAGCATAAAAGATCGATATGTTTTGTATAACTATAATTATTTTGAATCCTTGGTACAAATTGTAGTTTCTTTTGTTTCATATTTAATGTTGTTTATTTTCGAGTTCAAAAAATCATTTAATCGTTTTTAAGATCGGTTTTCCGAGAATGTATAAAGACTTCAAGTTCTGTTTTCCGAGAATGTTTAAAGGCTTGAAGTTCTGTTTTCCGAGAATATTTAAAGGCTTCAAGTTCTGTTTTCAGAGAATGTATACAGACTTCAAGTTCTGTTTTCCGAGAATGTATAAAGACTTCAAGTACTGTTTTCCGAGAATGTTTAAAGGCTTCAAGTTCTGTTTTCCGAGAATGTTTAAAGGCTTGAAGTTCTGTTTTCCGAAAATGTATAAAGGCTTCAAGTTCTGTTTTCCGAGAATGTTTAAAGACTTCAAGTTCTGTTTTCCGAGAATGTTTAAAGGCTTCAAGTTCTGTTTTCCGAGAATGTATAAAGACTTCAAGTTCTGTTTTCCGAGAATGTATAAAGGCTTCAAGTTCTGTTTTCCGAGAATGTATAAAGACTTCAAGTTCTGTTTTCCGAGAATGTATAAAGACTTCAAGTTCTGTTTTCCGAGAATGTTTAAAGGCTTCAAGTTCTGTTTTCCGAGAATGTTTAAAGACTTCAAGTTAGCTATATTTTCTTGCTTGATCTTAAAGGGACTGTTAAGGAAAAATGAAAGGGGGTATACGCTGAAACCTATTTAATTTAGGGGTTGATCAAGAACTAAAAGAGTTCTATTTGATGTTCCTTTGACAAGCAATCAGTATAAAAATGTGTCAAAGTTATTCCAAAACTTATGTATATGAGATTTTGTATATGAATATTAAAGAATGTAAGAAAACTAGCCAGTCTCTCCGGATAAACGGTGTACAAAATAAACACGAGCAACTCTATCTGCTCAACCCGATTAATACAAGGATTTGTACATTTAACTAACTATTGAGTCTAAAGATTACTAGTGCTCGGAACAGTATAACGGTCAGCGCATTTTCAAATCAAAATATATTGATCAGTTTACAAGTTATATTTATATTTGTCACCAGCAAATATACAACTGATCTGAAAACTATGATAACTAAGAGGAGCCTGAAGAACTTAGGTTTGCTTCTGTTAAAATTTTATAATTAAAATTTTTCTTCTTTTAAAGATATAATTGATAATATAATTGAAACGTCTGTATCATCCGAATGATCCGAATGTTTACCAATGGCAATGCAGTATCTTGGTCACGTGTCTCCGTCTGTATCATCACATGACATTGGTACTGCACTGTGCGACTGCGCTAAATTTTAAATCCTTATTGCCAGATGTTCTTGACAATATATATAAATACCTGTAAAACTATTTATACTTCAGTTAGTCCCGGGCTAGCCCTAGCTAACTCACTTACAATTTAATAAAATCCCATTTATGAAATTGATTCATATTCTTGTTTTATTTTCTTTCTATTAACAAAACTAATGAGAAATTATAGATGATTTAAAAGTTCTTTTACTATTTGTAAGAGTCAGTGGTTATGTGATCTCCATGTGGTGGAGGAGATAGTTCGTTGTCTCTCAGCAGTTTTAGCGCAGCAGAAAAATTTCCTGAATAAGTAAATCTGTAATTGAAAAAGGGTACTCTACTGTCATTGATGGAACTTCTGGTCATGTGATACGGACGTAGTCAGACTCCTAGGCGATGTATTATTGAACCGGTCAGGTATATCTTATTCATTTTTAATTCAACGGTTTATATATTTGGACATTGGTCTTAAAATAATCTAAACTAAGGAGTTGAGCCTTTTTCACAAACTCTAATTTTCTAATCTCTATATCTTTGCAACTCTATGTTGTAAACCTTAGATATAACAAAATTTGAATTATGTTAGATAAAATAAACTATGTTTGAAATATCAAAAGTGAATGCCATTAGTTTACAAAGAAATAGAGAATAGAAAAATTTTTTTAGTTTGTGACAAAAACTCAATTCCTTTAGGAACTCACGTTAATAACTATATTTAAGCAAGTTACAGATGTCAGAAAGGCTCGGTTACATTTACCATAATATGTTTGCCATGCATAAGTAACACTTACCATATGGTTGCATAGGATTGGGTAAAATTCTGTTACCGAAATGGAGGCCTTCGAAAATTAACGGATATTAAAAAACGGTAAAAATCATTAATTTTTACATCACTAACAAAACGGTTAGCCGTTTTTGAAAAAAACATTAATGCTTAAAAATGTTAGCTAAACATCTAAAAACAGTAAATTTCGTTATTTTAAAATTAAAATCACATGAATTTTTTTTTGTTAAAAAATTTAACGCATTTTCATGTTTTTAAATGTCATCTTCTGTGTTTATAAACCGTTAAGAATTTGTTTCGCCGTTAATACCGTTAATTCTGTAATATACCATAAATAGCTGTGCAGTTAAGTATTTTTTTTAACTGTTTACTCTAGATGTATGTCTGCTTCGTAAAAATACAAAAATTATGGCAAATCATTATGGCAAGTGTAATTATGGCAATCTTTTTTATTGAAAAAAATATTATGGCAAATGAAACTGAGCTGTGAGAAGTTCAATACTTGTGTATGAGAATCTTGGGATCAGGGATTGATCTCATTAGTCAACAAACATCCCCTGCATAAATAGCTTTGATATCAGGATTATGCAATGCATTGATCGTTTAAATCAAATTTTCTTTATCTTGTTACCATTCCTTTTTATCTACATAGTAAACTAGCTAAAGTGCCCGGCGTTGCCCGTGGAATTTTGAAAAATCGAATTTTTGAAAAAAAATCTGTTTCGACTATGTATCCCACAGTGTACCCATGGGTTTCCTCTAAAAATTTAAATTCGGTCCACCCGTACTTTTGGCCTGTAGCTACAGCCAACATATATATTATATATATGAGCGAAGAGCTTTATAATATAGATAAAGATCGACTTAATAACATATTGTGACAGAATTGTGTAGCAACATACATGACCCCTGCGGGAAAAGTTAATGGAATATTGATGGTAAATTTGAAAGATTTTGCCATGGAAAAAAAGTCGACATTAATAATTTTATAAAATGTACCAATTCATACAAATTTCTTAAATTTGAAAGATTTATATGAAAATTAAGAACTTGCAAAGCTACAACTGTTATTAAAAAAGCCTGGTAATATTTAAAGATTGCTGGCAACAAATAAAAATAATGTAAAATATATTTCTTGTAACATAAAATGTGAAGTGAAGTGATAACATAGACATTAGAAATCAACATATTTTTTCAGTAAAATTCGAAATTTTAAATTTATTTTCTAAGTGTTTTTTTTATTACCGCGGACACTTTATCGCATATATATATGTCACTTTTTTCTGTATTTGTATAAAACCCGAGGCAGATTTTAAATTATTTACACATAAAACTAGCGCACCACTGCTGGGAGTTGCAGGCCATGGTTTTGTTCGACAAACTTTTACTCGGCTGTCTCTAGGATACAGGTTTCAGTTTGAACTCATGAATAAATTATTATTCGGTCCATTCGTTCAGTAAGTTTGAAGAATTGCGGAAGGATATAATATAGCAGGATATAATATAGCAGGATATAATAAAACAGGATATAATAAAACAGGATTTAATTAAACAGGATACAATTAACAGGATATATTAAAACAGGACATATTAGAACAGGATATAATATAACAGGATACAATATAAAAGGATATAATAAAACAGTATATAATAAAACAGGATATATTAAAACAGGATATAATAAAACAGTATATAAAAAAGCAGGATATAATAAAACATGATATAATATAACAGGATACAATATAAAAGGATATAATAAAACAGTATATAATAAAACAGGATTTAATTAAACAGGATATATTAAAACAGAATATAATAAAATAGGATATAATAAAACAGGATATAATAAAACAGGATATAACAAAACAGAATATACTAAAACAGGATAAAATAAAACAGGATATAATAAAACAGGATATAATAAAACAGGATATAATAAAACAGGATTTAATTAAACAGGATACAATTAACAGGATTTATTAAAACAGGACATATTAGAACAGGATATAATAAAACAGGATATAATATAACAGGATACAATATAAAAGGATATAATAAAACAGTATATAATAAAACAGGATATATTAAAACAGGATATAATAAAACAGGATATAATAAAACAGGATATAATAAAACAGGATATAATATAACAGGATACAATGTAAAAGGATATAATAAAACAGTATATAATAAAACAGGATTTAATTAAACAGGATATATTAAAACAGAATATAATAAAATAGGATATAATAAAACAGGATATAATAAAACAGGATATAACAAAACAGAATATACTAAAACAGGATAAAATAAAACAGGATATAATAAAACAGGACATAATATAACAGGATACAATGTAAAAAGATATAATAAAACAGTATATAATAAAACAGGATATAATAAAGCAGGATATATTAAAACAGAATATAATAAAACAGGATATAATAAAACAGGATATAATAAAACAGGATATAACAAAACAGAATATACTAAAACAGGATAAAATAAAACAGGAAATAATAAAACACGATATAATAAAAAAGAGGATATAATATAACATGATATAATAAAACAGGATATAATATAACAGGATATAATATAACAGGATATAATAAAACAAGATAAAATAAAACAGAATATACTAAAACAGGATAAAATAAAACAGGAAATAATAAAACACGATATTATATAACAGGATATAATAAAACATGATATAATATAACAGGATATAATAAAACATGATATAATATAACAGGATATAATATAACAGGATATAATAAAACAGGATATAATAAAACAGGATATAATTAAACAGGATATGATAAAACAGGATATAATAAAACAGCATATACTTAAGCAGGATAAATAAAACAGGAAATAATAAAACAGAACATACTTGAGCAGTATAAAATAAAACAGAATATAATAAAACAGGATAAAATAAAACAGGAAATAATAAAACAGGAGATAATAAAACAGGATATAATAAAACCAGTATATAATAACGCTGCAGCTTAATTAAAAATTCTAAAACTAAATAGACTTATTGATCCTGTGCAATTTATTTAAAATGCAAAGGTTTTTAAGTGTTAGAAATGAGAATGATAGAAACCATTTATTTACGTAAGGAAAGAGTAGTCGCATGAAAATATTGTAATATTTCTTTATTCGAAATGAGTTTAACAAATTCTTACCCAGAACACAAAAGTTGATTTTGACACGACTTTTACTAAAATTTTTAAGTCGACTTAAACTTGTAATTAGTTGTTCCAAAACTGGACTTTTAACGAAGTTTTTTTTCGATTTTGACGATTTCTTTTTAAACTTTAATGCCAAATTTGTTTACCCATTTGGACGAGATTTTCTCTAGTTTTGAATGAGATTTTGGCAGCTTTAGGATAATTTTTTTGGAACATTTGACCCTAATGTTAAATTGGAGCTTCTCAAGGCTAGATAAGAGCATGAAAGATAAAAATCCTAACGAGGAAACCGCATTTTACACCTTTCATGCTCTGTCAAAAAAAACAGGATAATTATCTTGTGTTAAGGCTTTTTTCAGGTTAAAATGAAAACAGCAAAGTATTTAACAAGGAAAGAATAAGGTATATTATAAATGACTAATTTGAGTGCGGGGTAACTTTTCCCATTGCAATAATGGACCCAATGGATGTTTCAATTGCACAAATTTTTTCCTTGATTAAATACAAAAAAAATATTTGTACTAAGTAATTCTATGATAAAAATAGATTAGGCTTGTTAAGCCCTTTATAGAAACTTTTTAAATTTCTTGATTTAGCAAAGCATTTGTGAACATCGCTATAATTCATATATTTAATTTGGTCAGATTGGAGAATTCCAACCCAATTATCATGGTTTATATTATTCAAACTACCCCTTATCTTAATGTATTAAGTTGTAATCACAGTCCCTTGACCATGGCATTTCAAATATGCAAAGAATTTTGCAAAATTTTAAATAACCTGATTTTTAATCAAGAAAAACTAAAAATGTGCAAATTTCCTTTGACAGGTTGTTTGCAAACATTTTGCAATTTTTTTTCGCAAAACTTGTGCAATTCGTTTCCTTATGTCAAAGGCTTTCCAAAAAGCTAAATTTTATCAAAATCTGACAAGTGGAAGTGGGTCAAAACAAAGATTTAGTTTGTTACAGGAAAAAGCAGTCATTCAGGCAGTGTGCCTGAGGACTCAGGCAGTTAGTATTAAAGCCCGGTTTTAGGCCTAAAGGGGGCATTGGGTATGTAGGAAAAGTCAGCAAATTTCAACAGCCTCAGACCAATACTTTGAGTTATGTAAAAATTGACCCCCCCCCCCCTCAGCAGGAATAGGGTTGAATTTAGTAAATTAGTTTACATTCAAGTGGTTTTATGCATTTTGATATGTTGTTTCTTCTAGTGTACAATGACGGGTTGTACAGCAAGACTGCTCTGTCTAGTACAGGCGGGGCAGTGTCCGGAAACTAGTTTGACCAGTTTACTGCTCCTGCTGCTGCTAGCTGGGCAGGCGCTGGCGGGTAACTTCTACTTCTCCCCATGGGAGGCTGGGTACAGGAAAGACAGGTAAAGTTGAACTAAATACATATTATGAAAGTATAAAGTTTGATTCATAAGATAAGGTGAAGCATTAGAAACATTATTTTTCATGTTAAAAAAAAATTGTTGAAATACATTTTATTTGTATAAATACTTTGCACCATTAAGAAATATAGCGAAAATATTAATATTTCTTTCTTACATATATCGAAAGAGTTTTTTGAGTAAATAACATTTCTATGAATATCATTTAAATGTTTTACAATCACACTATGTTTTGAGATGGTAAAAACGTTGAACAAAAAAGTTTACGCTTCAGGGTGAATTCAATGAACAGTGAAAACTTCGATTTATGTTCGACATAGGCAAAAATATTTGTAGGGCAGGAGCTATAGATATTTGTGCCGGTGAAAAAGAAAGTATTTTTCCTTTAACATCATGACTGAAGTTTTGCTGGTAATAAAAAATATCATTTCCCTGACATTGATCATTTTAAGATTGTTGGATGATTGGTACGATATGGACTACCTTGGATCCCCAGCCTTGACGGTCAACCTCTCCATGAGATCTTTAGATTATCTTCTGGTAATGCTTATAATGGTTTTTTATTGATAATAACGCAATGTTGCTGGTCATGAATGGTCTGAATATTATCATTTGCTTTTTTTCTGGAAACTTTGGAATTTTTAAATTGTGGTCTGCATTTTTTCTGCCATAAAAATTGAATTATCAAATGAATAAATTTTTATTAAATGTTTCTTGAAAAAAGTGTTTTTTTTTAAAATGCAAAAAGTAATAAATGTAGGAAATGGAATTGATGGGTTCAGGGCCTGTAGGATATTCCAAATCAAAGAGAAAATGTAGACCTGTCTGGTCCAGGTAAAATGTAGACCTGTCTGGTCCAGGTAAAATGTAGACCTGTCTGGTCCAGGTAAAATGTAGACCTGTCTGGTCCAGGTAAAATATTTTCCTAAATTTCAATACCACAATTATGCTCTTAATCATGGCAATGGTAAAATATTCCATAAAAAATTCGACATTCTTCTTGATGCAAAATGGAAAAACAGATTCTTATTATGAGAAAATTTAATGAAATTCCACGTATAGAGGGTTGTTAATAGTTTTAAAACGATCGTTTTACAATAGTTTTTTGTTTAGTTTTCCAATCATTTTCAAAAACGATCGTTTTTTAAAACGACCCACTCGTTTTGAACTTTAGAAAACGAATAACAAGCGTTTTTGAAAGCGATGGTTTTTAAAAAACGATTTGCGACATTATTACTTTTTTAAAAACGATCGTTTTGTTTTCGATTTTTCGATGTCGTTTTCATAACGAAACTACTAATAGTTCTAATAGTTTTATAACTTTGCTAATTATCTGAGAGAATGCCGCCATAAAGTTTAAAAGTTAAAGTTTTAAATGAAAAAACTATTTGCACTTTTATAAACCTAATTCAAGTGAATTTTATTCATTTCAGAAAGTTTAAAATCTAACAGTTTATTCAGGAGAAAATATTTTACACAAAAAAAAACATTATAATCTTTATGTTGATTTTTGAACTACGTCAATTAATTTCTGAAGTCTGGTTTTTCGATTTATCATAAATATGGGAAATACAGTATTACCTGTATCGGATAAGGTTTTAAAAACGACCTACAAATTTCTAATCTAACAATCTGAAGGCGGAATTTAGGATTTAGGGATGTAATTAATTATTAGACAAAAAAATATTCATTAACAGTTTCAGGAACAAAGTATTTACATTAAACTATAACTAAATAAATTTTGCTCAGTCTTCTTTGAAGTTTTATCTATTTTGGGTAACCCTGTTACTACTAATTTTTTCTAGAAACTGAACTTTGCAATCTGCAAAAAAATGTATTTGTCCACTTCATCTTGCCTTGCATCAATTACCACAGTCTCAACATTGAAACTGTTCCTGACAGATACCCTTAGCGAAATAGTGCAGATTTCTCTGCTAGGCTTCATGGCTCCAAGGTGTTTACTTAGCTAGAATCTAACCAAATGATATTATCAGGTTCCAATGTCTACAAGAGACATTTCTAAAACCTCAGTGATTATGCCTTTTGGCCTGTTTAAGTGGCTAAGGATGCTTTTTAGTCTAAGGAAAAGTGGAAGTACCTCCAAAAGTATGATGAATCAGATCTACCAGGGCCCTTCATACTGTCTTGTGTTTGTTGATCTGGCGTCCTTATATCCAGCCCTGACCTTGGTACTCATGATCCAATATGTTGAAGGGTCCTTGATCTCCGCCTCCGTGGTCTCAGCATCAACCCTGAAAAAGTGCATGTTTTCAGATTCATTGCATGTTTTCTCTGTATGAGAGTCTCTGGATCAGGTTGTTTTCCACTAGTTAAAAATACAGAGATCATCTCTGCTTTCCCCCATCCTACATAAAAGCAAGGTCTACAGTGTTTCCTGTGAATTCTTAATTTCTCCAGAAGGTTCATCAAGGGTGCAGCCAACCTCCCGCATCTTCTGACTTAAATTCTCAAGGGTAAACCTACAGCTCTGACCTGGAACCTGGAGATGAACCAGTCCTTTGCAGCCGCCAAATTTCTCCTAGTGCATGTACCAACACTTGTTCATCCTGACCCTGCCGCCTGGGTTTCTTTGTCTTTTGATGCCTCCAGTTCTCAAGTTGGAACAGTCCTGCAGCAAGAGGTATCCAGCTCCTGGGCCCCTATGGCGTTCTTCTCAAAGAAGTTATCTGCCTCAGAATCCAGATACTCCTTCTTTAACTGAAATCTGTTCACTGCCTACTCCTGTCTCCGCCGTTTTTGAATCATGTTAGAAGATAAACAGTTTATATTGTTCAACAACAACAAACCTATAGCATTTGCACTCCAAAGTATTCCTCCGTAAAGACAGGTTCCAAGTCTGACTCCATGTTGAATAGGCTTAAACCAGTTTTCTCTGATCAACCTGTAGTTTCTTGACAGCCTCTCTTAATATGGAAGACATCCTTCAGCTCTAGCTTCGTTTACACCGGCTCCTGCACTCTGGCAACGTTGACTCCCCCTCTCCCATACCTCTACAGAGAGCCAAGGAGGATTCTCTCCATAGCATTCTCCTTCCCTACTAGTTTATTGGAGTGCAGTTTGGGATAAGCATAAACTGCTTCATCAAGCTCATTATATCAATGCTGGGGGGACCCCACTGGAGGACAGCAAATATCGTCTTCCAGACCAGAAGTTATGAGAACCAAACAAAATATATTTCTATAGTTTTAATTAGTCATGTTGTAACTTAGATCTCAATATATATTGTTTGTTTCTTAAAATTTTTTTTTATCAAACTTTTGAATAGAATAAAATAAATATGTCACCATTGATAGCATAATTCTTCCTACACCCAGATAAAGGAAGAATAATTTTCCAGTACCAAAAATATTTCGCATCATGCAAATATTTTTCAATATTTCTTAACCTAAAAAGTAGACCATGGAAAGAATTTTAATGTGCAAAGAATCTAAAATTCATTTTTTTACTAACCCTCCATATAGTAATACATTTCTAAAAGACTGGGTAGAACAAATAAATAATTTAACTTCACATGACCCTGTATTCTTTCTTGTTTTGATAACTGTCATATCATTCATTTTCCTCTAAATATCATTTACTTTGCAAAACAAAATTCTGGATTCAAAAGGGGGGAAAATTCTCTATAGAAAGGATACTCCCCTGAGTTTAAAATAAATAATTTTTTCCCCTGGAGAAAAAATCCAGCTGAATTAAATGAAAAATATGTTTATTTGTTGCTATCTAAAAATGAAGTATAAAACAGTGTGACGTTGCCTTTCTATAGATGTTTAATTATTTATTGGGTTCTACGTAGGACATTTACCTGATTTATTAGAATTTATATGAAGTGTGTAATTCATACTAATTCCTACTTACAAGCTTGCAATTTGTCCAAACCATGTCCAAAGTTAAACAGCGGGTCTATACAATTAGAAACATGATTTATTATCTAAAATTGCTATTTATTCTGATAATTTCAAGTCATAAAAATGGAAATTAAATGCAATGCATTTGTAAAAATTCTGTCTAATCTATCTTTGCAAATTGGAAATAGGCCTGTATTTTAATGGACTACTACTATTGAGGTTCTTTATTTTCACAGAAATTTTCGTTAAATTTCAAAAAAGATTTTGGATAAAATCTAATAGTGTTCAAAACAACACGACTAGAATAATAACCATTTATTTAAATTTGATAAACTAGGATTTTAGGCTGCTTCGCGCCCATCTTATTTTCAAGAAATTAATTTTTTTTTTCAAAATTAAAAACCTTTAAAACACATTTTTTTAAATTTTTATCATTCATAAACCTTTCCTGTGGTCACGTGATGTCCCACAAAAAATTTGGGCCCGATTGGTTCAGCCGTTTTGACGTTTATTGGTTACAAAAAAAACAGACAAACAAACAGACAAGCCAAATTTATATATAGATTAGATGTACAAAATACAATGCAATTCATATATTTGCAGTAAATAACAGAGAGGTCCATTAATCTGTGGTATGGGAACACAATTTAAGTTAGGATTTAACCCTATCTCTGCTGGGGTACTTGAAAACCAGGATATGCTGGGGGGGGTCAATTTGACCCCCCCCCTCCCCCCCCCCAGCAGGAATAGGGTTAAAATAGTCCAAAGAACACTAACTACAACATTTGGAGTTTGGTAAAAAGTCGTCTTCCTTTTCCTTCATTTTTATGGGTCTAACGGTCTTAAATCATATTATCGTTTCTTGACATAACAATTAGGCAAACTAGATAACAAATAAGAAGTGAACATTTAGAACATCAAAACACGTAAAAACCATGTAAAAGTGTCTGTCTTTGAAGTAAGTTTTAAGCCAAACAATAAAAAGGTTATTTTCGTTCATAAACGATTAAAACATTAATTGAATCAACCGTTAATTAGCAGAAACTTGTCATTGAGAAACAGAACCAACTTTTTCATATTTAGAATTCACATCAAAAGGTGATTGCGGCAATTAATATTTTCTTTAAATAAATAAAATCTATGATTTTAACGAAAATGAGAATTTTTCAACAAAATTTTACCAACATTTGTTCTTGAAATTTGGGTAAAATTCTGCAAAAATTTGTTATCGAAAACTTGAATTTCGACAAATGTTTAAATTTCTTTTTAAATTTTCTCAAGATATATTGTGAAATTTTGTTAAAATTTAGTTAATTTTGTGAAAATGGGTTATCAAATTTTGCGAAATTGATCAAAATTTTCGCTTTCGAACCCCATTTTTGAATATCTAATTGAAATTTTGCCTCAGAGATTGAGCAGAAATTTGGAAACTCTAATTATACCGCTTCATTGTTTTGTAATATAATATTGAAAATATTGCAAACACTTTGTGTTTGAGTTACGTTGTTCTTAAATATTCATGATTAATAGAACATATTGAATTCTAAATTAACATTAATAATTTATGCATGGTAAGTATGTGCAATTTAAAATGAATTTTATGTATGGAAAAACTGAGGTATATATGTAACATTACACAGGGTTTTCCACAAAGAATAAGACTTTAGAGGTCTTTTATCATCTTCTGAGTCGTTTTTGGCAAGCTTTATAACTCTACATTACCCGGATTTAAACCTACAAAACGTATTGTTTCATCCTGACTAATATTCAGGAAGAGTACTTCAACGGCCACTGACATTTTTTTTAATGTCATGTTAAAAATATTTTCTGGAAATATACTGAATTTAGTTCGATGCCAACTTTGAATAGCGTTAAACATTATATAAGTAATGGCTGAATATTAGTCCAGAAAACTGTTATTAAACATTTTAATGGTGAATTTTATTGGGGTCATTTGAAAATTGAATATGATTGAATATACAACCGACTTTAAAGGACGATTTTTTACCCGCTAGGTGTCTCTGCTCTTGATGCTTCTAGGGAAGAGATTCCCTAGCAACAATTAACAAAATTATCGTTTAAAATACATTGGTTATGAAACTAGTGAACATATTATCAAATATTAACTATATACTAATGTGTTGAAAAAAATCGATGATTATAGGCTGTAATATCTGAACAATTTTTTTTGAATTAACTAGATCAGAGTTGAATATTGCTTTTTGCTTTCTGAATTTGCATGGACGCTACGTCCTTTTAAATGTGTCTTTTTAAACAATTATCTCCTTATAGACGTGCAATAAATAAGAAGTAAGATTCGTAGCAATCACCATCGAATATTTTCCCATTTAAGCTTATACCCCCTTTTATTTTTCGCGAACACTCCCTTTAAATATCCCTTATAGACCTGCTGTGAAAAGATATTTGTTTTTATTTTGTAATTTATTACTGAAACTTAATGACGTATAAGGAGCAGTTTCTAAAAATATGGTGACGACGGGACAGGGTTAAAATTGGAAAAATTTGACACTACAATCAAACATTAATCAACCCGTATAATAATTCATCAGTGCAAAATTGTGGTCAATGCATTGTACAATTATTGCCAATTCAATAAAAAGTATATCAAGTTGAGAATTAAAATGTCAGTTATTTATAGATTAGAAGTGAAATATTATGATTGATCTACATTCTGAATGTTTGATTATATGTTATTTGTAAAATTGAAGTAGGAACATGTTATTGAGACTTGTTTCATTGTATGTTTTGTCATATTAAACACATTGGACATTAACCTTAAGTATGTCATTTTTCCGAAATACATTTTCAATCAAACAAAGATTTTCATTTAAAGTAATTCTGTACTTTTAGTTTTTTGACCATATCCAGATTGGGCTTATACCTTTTTTATTTTTTTTGCCCCCCCCTCCCAACCTGGACTTGTTTTGTTCACCATAAAAATACCAAACATCAATAATCACAGCATCATTAAAAATTATATTTTTACTAATAAACGAAATTTCTTCTGAATTGTTTAGATAGAATTTACTCAATCTCAATCTACATATTCACCAACTCTTTTAAGCTACAATTTTCTGGGATTTGCTTGCACAAACATTTCAATAATTTTTTCAGTAGAGAGCTCAGGCAGCCTTTTAGGGTGTAAAGCTTTAAGTGCAAGATCGTTAAGTCTGCTCTCCGTCATAGTACATCTTGTGTAATGAAGTATTCTCTTAAGATTGAAGGCTAAAACTTTTCTCTCCTTGTATTAACAGTGAATTCAGACAAATCCTTAGTCTTTGTCATTGTCATGTGTTACTTTTTAAACGTAGTTTCCTTTTAATTTTGTATTTTCCAGGGGGGGGCAGTGCCCCGCCTGGAACTCTCAGGGGGGGCACTGTGCCTGGCCTGATGAAGGGAAATGCCAGCAGATGTAATATTAAAAGAGCCTCCCTCATGGGTGCCCCCTCTCAGCCTCTCAGGGGGGGGGCACGCGTAGAGGGGGCGGGGGGCGCGGCCTCCCCCCTCGTACAACCCTGATCTTACAACTAGGGTTTCCTATCAAAATAGTGCAATAGTTGCGCAAAGATTTTCTTATGTTTCTAGTAGAATTTGCACAAAATTTCGATATAATTTTGCATTGATGCGCAAGAGGTATTTCACGCAAATTGTGAAGAAAATCTTGTTTTTTCACATTTAGTTACTCCTGCTAGCTCGTTATTTCGCTATTTTGAGCTAATACATTAAATTTCGAGAAAAAATTCTAGGAAATGAATATATCCAAAATTAAACCAATTAGAGCCCCCCTACACTCCAGCCCACACTCACCCGCACCTTTGGCAGTGGCCTTACTTCTAATGTTATGAGTAAGTTACTATTTAAGATAGGTAACAATCAAACAGACATTCAAACAAGAGAAATGTATACATAAATATATATATTAATACATAGATGAACATATAGTCCCCTCTTTAACATTTTTTTCTAAACATATTTAACATAACACATTTTTAATTTGGAAAGTAACCAACATTTTTAACGTGTCAAACTATAGAAAATGATAATAATGAAATGTTTGCTCATGAATTAAATACTGCAACTATGGAAGTTATTTTTTACTAATACTAATTCACATCATACTGTAGAAAAATTCAAATCTTTAATATATTTGAGCAATATGCTATAAAACAAATAATTGTATTAATTTTTTTTTTAATTGATTTTTGTATTAATGCGCAAAATCATGCAAAAATTATGATTTTTATTATTTATTCATCTGCAATTTTGTGCAAATAAGTAATATTAATTTTGAATGAATGGGCAATTTCATGCAAACCTGGGTGTGTATTGATACGAAAATATATTTTGATTTTATTTGAGCTTACTCTTACATTATGTCATAAAGAGATTTAAAGGGAGTGTTCGCGAAAAATGAAAGGGGGTATAGGCTTACGGCGAAAAATAATCGCTTTTGATGGCTGTTAATTCTATCTGTTGCGTCTATAAGGAGAAAATTGTTAAAAACGACTTATACTAAAGAACGTAACGTCCATACAAATTGAGAAAATTGCAACATACGACTCGGATCGTATTAAAATCCATTTAATTTCAAACAAATCATTCAGATATTACAACCTACAGTCATCGATTATTTTTCGACGCATTTCTATATAGTTAAAATTTCATAATATTTTTTTTGTTATGCACTTAAAACGCCGAAATAGTTAGCCGCAAGGTGTCTCTTCTCTCGATGCTTTGGTTGATTTCACGTGGCAGAGACACCTAGCGGAAAAAACGTCGTTTTAAATGCATTGCATATAAACAAATAACAAATATTATGAAACATTAACTATTTTCGAATGCGTCGAAAAATAATCGATGTCGAAAGATTTTAATATTTCAATGATTTGTTTGATATTAAATTGATTTGTTTACGATCCGAGTTGAATGTTGCATCTTTCTGAATTTGTATGGACACTATGTTCTTCGGTATTAGTCGTTTTTAACAATTTTCTCCTTATAGACGCAACACAGATAGAAGTAAGATTAGCAGCGATCAAAAGCGCTTTTTTATCGCATTAAGCCTATACCCCCTTTCATTTTTCGCGAACACTCCCTTTAACTCAAATAAATCTGATTTTTTTTTCTTTACTATTACTCAGCTTCTTTTCTTTTTTAAGTATTAACTTGTATTTTAGCATGGATTTCCTCATTATAACATCAAGTCGGACTTCTGTTTTCCGGTTCCCTGACCAAGGTAACCATTTCTCAACTAAAACTAATGTTTACGATAGAAATTTCCTATATCTGCTTTAAATCCTGATCTGAAAAATTTTTTATTTGTTGGAGTTTATTTTTATTATTATTATTATTATTAATTTTCAAACCTGAATTATCTCGATTCCTTGTAAATTTTGAAAAAAAAACTGGCCTAGGGGAGAATTAATCTTACATCTTTCAGTCTATGACCAATTTCATATTTTCATTTTCCCAAACCTTACTTTTACTGAAAACAAATCGATATTTAGGGACTATGCAAATTATTGAATATTGTAATGTTTGTTTAATTTTTAAGCAAAAATCATATTTTTTAAATTGAAGTGTATTAAATTACAAAATGATAAGTTTTTTTCCCTTTAAATATGATTTTTTAAAGTTTTAAATTTGTAAAACTGTTTCTGACTTGCTATCTATCTTACTCAGAGTTATTGCGACCAGACGGGAAGTGTGGAGAGGGGTATCCTGCTCCAGGTACCGATATTCCAGCTGGGTGTGATAGATCAAGCACTAACAAATGCTGTTCTGCTTCCAACCAGTGCGGAACTGATTGTAGCTGCGAAGGCTGTATTAATTATGATTCAGGTTAAACTCTTTGAAATTCCAACTTTTTATGAATGAAAATGGTTTTTTATTGAAATAATACCTTTCATTTTAATCTTGCCTTTTAGTCCAAGATAAAAGAACCTTTGAGTACAGAGTATTAACCATTGCAACAGCTGAAGAGTGTGCTCGAAGATGCATGCAGTCCCCAGCCTGTGATATGTTCTTCAATGATGCTACTACTTGCCTGTTTTATCCAAACATTAAACTTAAAGGCAGATTACTTAAACAGGTAATACAATTTTAAGTAGGGATGTTCATTGTTTTAAAAAACGATCTAAAAAATGATCGTTTTCTGGATTTTTCAAAACTAATTAACATTCGTTTTTAGAAAAAGCGAATTGTTTAAACTAACAAAGTGTTGGTCTTAAACTTCCAAAAACGAAAAACTAAAGGACAAAACTATAGTTTCAAGCAAAAACGATCGTTTCTGTCTAAATTTATATTTTACCAAATGTTATTGTTAGAAGCGTGGTGCATGAATGTTAATCTTGTTCAACAATATAATATTCATTCCAAAACAATTGTTTTTAATCCAAAAACTATGGTTTTCTATACTCTTGCTTTTCCATTAACAAAAGTGATAGTTTTCAAAGCGATCTTTTGGTTTTCAGATTTTTTTCTTCATTAACAAAACGAAACGATCGTTTTTTCAAAAAAGTACAAACTGCCCATCTCAAGTTAAATAAGATTACAATTTCTGATGGTACAAACATCAAATACTTATATTTTAGATTCATCATTGCATTTCATTGTGATTAAAAACGTTAACAACAATTTATTAGAATAATGTTTAATCCTTATTTTGAAAAGGCACATTTTCGAAGATGATGCCTATTTGGAAAGTTGATACAGCACTTTCAGGGATGACCCCCCCCCCCCTTTGTGGGGATTGTACCTAAACTGAAAACTCTTTTTAGTACAATAAAACAACGTTTAGGAAGCAAACAAAATTAACCACACTCTTTTGGAAACACTTTGATTTTGCATTTGGATCTTTAATCATGCCTGCCAGGGAACAAAGGAGGCTACCAACCTCCTCCCCCATCATTGTGCATGATTATGCATCCTCAGAATCCGCAGCATCACTGAGGGATTTCTATTGGTTGGTTTCCCGAATGTGTCCCGGAATTGGTTGAGCAGCTTTTCACAGACCTGTTGTTTGTTTAGCAGAAGAGAGAGAGGATTCTGAGGCAGGAGACACTGCTCTTGGTCGAGCAGCTCTTTACAGACCTGTCATAGAAGCAACAGAAGAAGGAGATAATCTAGGAGTAGCTGCTCCTTGTTCAGCAGCTCTTTGTAGACCCTAGACCTCAGATTCAGATCCAGAGAATGAGGACCTCCTGAGAGATACTCCTGAACCTTGTAACTTTTTATCCAACTCCAGACAGACCCTTAACTCCTTGAGCAGCTAGGATAACAGTAGAAGCAGCATATGAACCAGCAGTGAATGTGGAAGCTGTTGTTAAGAGATTGCAAGCTGTTGTTAGGGGATTCTGCCTTGGTTGAAGGATGATTTTTCCTTTTCTGAATCCTCTAATTCTGGAACGCCCAGTCCAGATGTAGAACCAGGAGAGATATTCAAGTTTAAGGAATATGCTCAGATAGATCTGAACCAGAGCAGCTAAACATATGTCCTGAAGTGGAAGATGAATCTGATGAGGTAGACAATAAAGGTCCTCCTACCCTCAACCTTGAGATAGAAGATGAAAGAGGACAATTGAGTAATGCTTTTTTGAATTATCAAAATACTAGACGATTGATGGACAGTTTAGAGCTTCAGGCCAAATCCTGGTCCAGCACAAGCATAAGCTGAGCTAGATATGCTCATAACCATCATAGCCAGGCAGAGAACCTGCATCCTTTCCCTTGCTGAATGTTGGTTCCCTAGAATATAAAAAAGAGCTGAATAAATTAAGATTAACATTATCTAAAAAGTCTAAACAATGACAAAACTCTATTCATTAGTAAACCTGAAAGATATCCAGAGAGAGATTAAAAAGGGATTTATAAGGAGAACTGGGATCCAAGGCGAAATAATTACATATACCCTTCACATAGGAGTAAACTGTGGATCCAGATATCCCTAGGATTTTTTACCTGGATTGGGGAAATTAGTCCTTGTAAGATGTGAAGACAAACTAATTAGGAGTATATTATGTAACACTATAAATACTTCAAGAGTTAATTCTATTTCCTCAATCTGCTTTGTTACAACGAAGGAATTGAGTCTTTGCCACAAACTCTGATTTTATAATCCCTTTATCTTTAGAACCCAATGTCGTAAATCTTTGATATTTCAAACTTATATTATTTGATCTAACAGAATTCATAGTTTGAAATATCTAAGGTCTACGACATTGGAATCTAAAGATATAGGATTTAGAAAAGCAGAGTTTGTGGTAAATACTCAAGAGTAGTGTTTTTAGTTCAATTTTTATCAGAGATATTGAAAAAATTTTCAAAAAGTTTCTTCTGGGGACTAACCCTTCTAATAAAATTGAGTTTACCCTCTTAATTAGAAATTATACACTACAATAATGTCTCATTGTTCTTAAATGAATCCAAAATACTGCACCATGGGTTTAAATATGTTATCTAGCCAGACTCTCCCTTTAATACGCTTATTTAGGTTGCTGATGAGTATGTTGTTCCAAGATATTATCTGCGCATGTTTGTTCTTGAATGTGATGACAGTCAAGCCAACATATTGGAGAATAACGATTGGGAGATAACACCTGCTTCAGCTCCATGGACTGAAACCTTAACATGTTCTGGAGAAGGGGATACCAGTGTGTACAGTGGTACTAGGAAGGAAACCCACTTTAAGGCCATGCTCCCAGGTAATTAGTTGGAAGAACTGGTGTGCGTTTCAAAATGAAAATTTGTAAATTAATATTTGTTAACCAGTTTGCACAAGATCCTAGACAATTTTACTAAATGGGAGAAAGGAACTGAGTACCTATCTTTGCAACCTTATATCTCAATAGTTTTAAATAGGTTCTATGACATTGGCTTTTAAAGATATAAAGATTATATACACAAGGCTTGTGTGAAAGACTCAATTCTTTTAAAATGTTATTCATTTCTAACATCTTTCTTTAGTACAAACCTTAGTAAATCTAATTGCAAATGTCAAATTTAAGCTAGACTTTTCCATATCTTTAAATAATTTGTACCCAAATATATCCACAGATCTATTTTCTGATATTTTAGCCTGTCCATCTGGATGGTGGGATTTTGAAGGAAAACAATGTATTTTCAACTCGGAAGATCAAACAGTATATAAACCCACAGAGTGGTATTATCACAACCCCTGCAGGAAGACCAATCTGTTAATATTTTCTATATATCATAAAGTTGTAATCTCTGTTGGTCTGTTTGTTTGTCCAATCATAACTCAGGAACCCCTGCTCTTGCAATTGTTGGACGGGATACCCTATTTGGTTCCACTAAAGTGCTGGTGGAAGACTGACTTTTTTAAATCAGCAAATTTGTTTATAATGCAATCTAACGCTAACCCCCATACCTTTCTAACAAGCTATTGATCATGGAAATTTTCCAATAAACAAAGAAATTACACTCTTATTTACATTTTTGAATAAATAAAACTTGAATTTAAGGATATTGAATAATGAGTAAAATGTTAAAAAAGCACTTTTAACTTGGAATTTTCATAACTCTTGCATCTATAATTCTTTTCTCTCAATGATGATGGCTCGGCGACCCCCCCCCCAGACGTTTTTTGAGAAAGTTTTTGGTCTGGTTCAAATTTGTTTACCTTTTAAACCAACATATGCCCCTCACTTTAGCCTCAATACCTACTATTTAAGTCCTAAGGTATTCTTTATTTTTCTTTGCCAGACTAAATCTATATTAAGACCTACTTCCTGGCATTGGATTTCAACATTTTTTAGTATTTTAAAAAGCCTTTTATAAAACGAAGCATATTGCACAATTTAGTAAAGAAATTTGGCCTAGATTTTCGAACAGATGCTTTTTAAAGGGAATTTGCACATTTTCAGTTTTCCTTGAATGCTGAGTAGGTTTTGTAAAATTTTGCAAACATTTTTGCATGTACAAATTTGCAATGTCAAGGGATTTCTAAAAATGTATGAAATATCATGTTTTGTGCTCTTTTTGGTTTTGCACTTGACATTGCAGTAAATATTTAAAATTTTTGCAAATTTGTTTTTGCAGTAGAGCCTAAGAGCTTTCCTAATGTGTTTCAAATGTTTTAGATTTGTATTACAATGAGGATTTAGACTATTAAGGGTAAATCCCAAGTATGGGGCTTAAAGTTTTTTATCAATGAAAAACACATTTTCATTTTATTTATATTTCAAACAAATATCTTCTAAAACATCATTTTAGTCGAAAAATAAAATGTTGAACATCGACCCCTAGTAGTGTGAGTTCATGTATTGAACAATTATGGGTTATTTTGCATACATAAGCTATCTATATTTTTTTATTTATCAATATGGTTATTATTCAGTTAGCAGCCAATATCAACCCCCTAACTCCAACTTACCATTTTACTATTTTCTTTGAGAAGTTTTACTAAATCAAAATTTCCTGAATAGTCATTTATGTGTTCAGTATCTTTATGCTATAAAGTAACAGGCTTGATAATTTTTCTTTTTGCTTCTTGTCTGTGGGAAAATACCTACTCATCTATATACTGCAACTATTGTCCCTATAGGGCTAAAACAAAGGTAAAAAGTGAAATAATTTAATCTTTCTACAAATATTAAAACCTCTAGATTTTATTCTATGATTTATTATTGTAACTATTTTAATGCTAAGAACGCACACTATTCAAGTAGGTAAAGAAATATATATTGAAATTGGTTTTGTGGAAAAGATATCTGAGACATGGAAGCGCAATTTCATTGGAAAGCAAGTCCAAATATGATTTCATACAAAGCAAGCTTCCTGCAAGTAATGTTCCATGTCAGACTGTTACTCTGCCTGCTGATCCAGATCAGTATCAAACGGGAACATGTCCAGATCCCAGTGAGTACTTATCTTACATTATTTCTATCCAACATATAATTTTCAAAATCATTCAATCAGGTCAGGCTAAAAAGTACAAATATCTTTGGACCTCTGCCCAAGATATTTGGGATGAAGATAAGTTTTACTATCAAAGTGGAAATGGTAGGCCAATGCCTGGGTTTTCATATGCTCAATGGTTCCCAGGTTAGCCATCACAACATTTAACTAAGGAAGTGTTCTAATGTAGTTTTGTGTATTTTTTCTCAAATAGGGCAACCAAATAATGGGGGAGATACCACACCAGTTGAAAAGGCACCTAATGGGAATTGGGAAATCCAAAAAGATCGTCCAGGAGAGAACTGTATTGCTTATGAAGTATTGACTAGCACAATTGATGACCGACCCTGTCATGACAAATACCCAGCACTCTGTGAAAGTGACAAAGGTAAAATTAATAAATGTTTCACATCTTGAATTCAATAATTTTTTTTAAGTGCTTTCTGCACTGGGTGGCTCAATGGAAGGCTATGATATTGAGCATGCTGGCACTTGTAATGCAGCCTTTTCCTATACAATTTCAAGAATACTTACTCTTGAAGATACAGAAATAACAGCTGAATTCATTCAATCCTTCAACCCTCATGGATTTCTCAAAGTTTGGGTCAGGTAAAACAATAATACAAAATTCTTTGTTTATCTAGACTAAAATTATATTCTGTAAGGTTTGTCAGCATTGAAAATGCTTCTGCTTCAGCTTCAATAACAGCAACTGTCACAGATTCTTCATATTCAACATTTAAAAAATCAATAAAAGTTGATCGTAATCTAAAAACGGAGAGTTTCCCAGTTATTGTACCTCTTGCTCTACTACTAAGGTTTCCACTGGATATCAAAGGTAAATAATATTACTAGAAATCTGTGAATATTGGTACAAATTCTAAAACCTTAAAGGGAGTGTTCGCGAAAAATGAAAGGGGGTATAGGCTTAATGCGATAAAAAAGCGCTTTTGATCGCTACTAATCTTACTTCTATCTGTTGCGTCTATAAGGAGAAAATTGATAAAGACGTCACATACCGAAGAGCGTAGCGCCCATACAAATTGAGGAAGTTGGAACATATGACTTGGATCGTAAAAAATCAAATTAATATCAAACAAATCATTCAGATATTACAACCTATAGTCATCGATTATCTTTCGCCACATTTGTATATATTTAATATTTCATACTAGTTTTGATTTTGTTTTTTAAAATAATATTTAGCTTACATTTATATACAATATATTTAGCAAACATTCCTGGAAAAAATGAAAATGTCGTCTTCATTGCCAAAAATCCTCGAAACAGGAATAAACGTTTTTATACGTATTTCTCAGATCATAACAATTAAAACATATTATGAAAAATCAACTATATATAAATGTGGCGAAAGATAATTGATGACTATAGATTGTAATATCTGAATGATTTGTTTGAAATTAAATTGATTTTTTACGGTCTAAGTCGTATGTTGCAATTTTCTCAATTTGTATGGCCGCTAAGTTATTCGGTACGAGACGTTTTTAACAATTTTCTCCTTATAGACGCAACAGATAGAAGTAAGATAAGTAGCGATCAAAAGCGCTTTTTTATCGCATCAAGCCTATACCCCCTTTCATTTTTTGCGAACACTCCCTTTAAATCCTATGTAAGATCGTTCAAAACCCAAAAAATAATGTTCTTAAAAATGTGTGCAGAATATTTTATTTTATAGTGAGTGCTATCACTGATGGAAGTGGAACTGTTATGATCTCCCCAATAGAGCTCATAATTGAACAACCAATAAATATTGGTTGTTTTCAAATGAGTTCTGGTGAACAAGAGACTCAGCTTGGATCCATCCAAGACTGTCTCATTCATTGTCATAATATTAAAATGCGTTTTGCTGTCATGATCTCTGGTGACAAGTGCAGCTGTATAAGCGAAATCAATCATGATGATTTTGAGGAACTACCTCATGGAAGATGCAATAGAACTTGTGTGGATTACACTTTATTCCCCTGCGGAGGAATTAATGCTGCATCTCTATACACAGCAGGTATGCATTGCCAAATTTGTTTTAATAATACCGACCTCTTCCCTCAACAACCTCTTCTTGCTCACTGTATCCTTTGAATAATCTGTCATCAGTATTTGAGTGTTTAAAACCATTTAGATTGTGAAGATGGATTTCTGAGATATGGAAATCGGTGCTACAAAGACAAAGGTGCAAGTCTTATGACTCTTGCAGGAAGTTGCTATTCTGATGGAGCTGATGTTTGGGCTCCTAGGTCTTTGGGTGAAGCAGAAGTAATAACCTCTCTTATTGGGTAAAAAACTTAAACTTTTTAAAAGTTTCATAACAAATTTCTTACTTGTTAATTCAAGATAATGAACATAATATCACTTTAGAAGTGTAAATGATGTCTACCATTTTGGCACACAATCTGCCACTCGTGGGATAGTAACACATCTGGATGGCACAGTATTTGTTGCCTTTTATCCATTATTCAGTAAGAAATATACACAAAAATAATATTCACATATAAAGCACTAGTTTGTATTAATACTTTAGTCCAGACAAACATAATGCTAACTAGGTTCATCTGTGGAATGGGATGGTGGAATTAAACCAGCAGAGCCACTTCCGACCACTATCTTTCAACATTGGTCTTCAAACAAGATACACAGCACAGTATACACCTCAAATGTTTCAACAATAGCTTACTCACACAATGTTGTTGGTCAGATAGTGTGTGAAAAACCTATTGGTAAGATTTAAAGGGACTGTTGTTTAATTTTAAGGGACCCTCCATTCAAAGAATTGGATGCTTGATTTACAAAATGTACCCTTACAGCTTTTTTCTGTTTATTACATGGAATATACATTGTCTTTTGCGCTAAGCTTATAACTTTCTCCTTTGTTTCGTAGCAAGAAACCTGCAAATTGCTCTTATAGAGAACCTTAAATTATAAATATGTAGAGAAAAAAAAAACAGTGACATCTCAATCATTTTTGTTATAACTAAGGTTTAAAGGATACAGGTGTTCCATTGTAGAATGGATGGTCACTTGAAATTATGCAAGTCCTTTTCACATTTAGTATATTGGGGTTCTTCAAACCCTAGATATGCATTATCATTATTATTGAGACAACACTTTTTAAAAGTTTTTCAAAATTATACAATCTTTAATTATTTCATCTCTCTTAAAAAGATTTAAGATTTTTTGTACATAATTAAATCTAAAAAATAGATTTGCAATTTCCTCTTGCATGAGTTTGGGCTGAGGTTTTTGGGATTTAATTGAAATTAGGAAAAGAAAAAAACGAAAAACTATTTATGAAGTTGACAGTTATGGAAACAAGAAGATCCTTGGTTCCAAGTATGTTGAATACAAATTTTATGATGCTGGAGTTGAGTCTCTCATAGAAGACCCATCAATACTTCCAGAAGAACAAGGAGTACCAATCCGATTAGAAATGCTTAAGTAACTTTATCTTTCTGTAATAGTAATTATTAACAAGGGAAATAGCTGGGCGGTTTTTAATATATCCTGTAACAATTTTAGAACAAGTTTATAGAATAATTTTTCAATTTTCTGGAAACTTAAGAAAAAAAACAAAAACACTTTAGATGGTTTCCCTTGGATTTTTTTGGATCAGTTTTCAGTTCCTTTTGAGAGTTTTTAGAGACTTGTTTAAAAAAAGATTCTAAAATGGCTTAAACCCTGCTAAATCATTGGATTACTTCTTAAGTCTTCTTTTAAGAAAACTTATCAAAAATATTAATTCCACAAATATTAAAAGCAAAATCAAGCTATTTCCTATTGACACAAATTTATGATTCCACTTTCAAAGATTAAAATGATCGAAATTGATATAAAAGTTAATTTTTATAATACTTCAGAGGATCTTGGGCAGGAAAGTGGTTTGAAATCAGATTCAATGAGAGTATTGTTTTAAACTCAATTCTGCTAACAATGAAAAAAGATTTTTATATAAGAACATTTGGAATCAGGGTCCCTATAATGGTAAAGAATCAACCAGACTTGATGTATTATAAAATCTGGACACATCGCACAATTGGAGCCACTACAAATGATGTTGACGATCCTATCAAAAAGAAAATACCAATGCCAGATCCTGTAATTGTGGACAGGTATTTTATAATCATGAAGATGGACATTAAACACATTTCACGAATTCTGGCAATTTATTCACCAATTTTACTTTTTACCAACCTTACTTTGAAACTTAACTAACTCCACCTTGATTACAGGGACAGTACGTCATTTGTAGAAAAAGTGGTAGTAAACCATGTTTTCCTTATTTTCCCTTCCTTCTATAACAATTGTGAATAATTAATACTGATTACTGGCAAAATATAGAAGATGTTATCAAAATTCTTAAAATTAATTGTGTCTTTGCCACAAACACTGAATGGCAATTCTTTGCCAAGAAGATACAATTAAAGGAAAAGGAAAGCAAATATTTCATGAGTAAGGAAGTATGTACAAAAAGCAGAATGTTTCCACAAAAAATACTAACAGAACGACCCTGAAGATCATGTCTGTTTATCAATTTTAAAAATTAAAATTAACTCAAAAATGGTTACATAAACATAACAATAATCCTTTTCTTTGTTCTAGGATACAATTTCAGATATCTTCTACTTCTCAAATAGTAAAGATGCGAATGGAATTATTTGGATTAAAATTGACAGATATTATTCCTAAGGATTACTTTAAGGCTGGTGAATTAAGTCTAGGAAGTAAGTCATATTTAAAAAAATTCCCAACTAGCTGAATTAGTAAAAAAACTTGTGTTATGTTTAATTTTCATCGTATTTAAATAATTTTTTTAAAAAAATTATAAAATGTGTACAAGAGCATAAAAAGGTGTTGTGAACGTTTAATGAGGTTTAACTTTATATTATTATTCAGTGTTATGTTATTCTAATCATACAAAACATATATCCTTATTACTTTTGGCTTTATGTAGACATGATAGAAATCAAAATATTTTACAACGATATCCTGTAAACCTTTGTTTGATCAAGGATGATTGAGACATTCTCATTTTTCTATCTAAAAAAATTATTGTTTATCTGTGGTTGACTTGCAGATTTTGTGCAGAAACAATACGGGGATTTGTTACAAATTAACAAATAATAGATAGATCAACAATGATATGCTTAAAATTGGTTCTTACAAAAACATATAAGGTGTACCTTTGTGAATAAGACATATCACTCTTTAAAAAAACATTATTGACATGCTATTTAAAACATGCAAGCCCCAGAAAAATTCGATTATATATGATACTTTTTTCTTTTCAGAGGAGTTTGTTACATCTAGCAAAAATATCAAGCTCAGCACCAATATTTGTCCACATGGTGGAATCCATATTTCAGGGATATCAAATACTTGACTGTCCTCACGGTGGAGTGTAGTTTCCATTCAGATATAAGCTTGATTTGATTTCTTTTATTTTAATATCTTTATTTTGTAAATGTTTGTATGTTGTAGAATGTTCAATGATTATACTATGACTGGATACACACACTAAATAACAAATGTCAAATGTACAAATGTACTAATTAAGAACTGTCATTTTGGTTTTTGAAATTTTACCTTCAAACAAAAAAATGTTAAATTTTTCTGATTTCATGGTCATAATCAATTATACAGTCTGTTTTCTCTCAGTTTTTTTTACCAAACAAAGCCCAAAATGTTTTTTTTATTTGAATATTAGGAACAGTCAAAACTCCCCCAAACATGGACACAGAAGGTATTTTTAATTTATTTGTATTTCTATTTGTATTTCTGATTATAGCTTTTATAAGTAGGGCAATCATATAAATATGATTTTATATAACAATAATTCTTTCTGTCTTTTCAGATATTTTTGTTTGGAAACAATTCCCATCAAATAAAAAATTTCTTTTTCATTTATTAAAAGTAACATTAATCTGCAACTCTTGATCTTGATATCCAATTTGGGCATTTTTGATTTAAAAATCTATGTTCGATCCCTTGATTAAAATCATCCCTGTAGGGTATAATCAACATAGGCTATTGTAGATATACATAGGATCGATGGAGATCCTTGAAATCCAAGATTGACAGCACAAAAGACCTGACAATTCTGTTCTCAAATCTTATGTGCAGAATTTTCCTAAAAGGAATTGAGTTTTTGTCACAACCACAAATTTTCTAATTTCTATATCTCTGCAACTAGTGGGTATAAACCTTTGATATTTCAAACTTAGATTTTTTGATCTAACAGGATTAATAGTTTGAAATATCTAAGGTCTACGACTTTGGGTTGCCAAGATATAGGGATAAGAATATTTGAGTTTGTGGCAAAAACTCAGTTTCTTTACAAGAACTTGCATTTAGTATCAAAAAGCTACTAAGCCATGTTTGAAATTTCTTCATTTTAGGATTAACAATTAAAATCAAAGCTGTCGACAAATCAGATCTTCTAAGTGTGGCACTTATATTCTCGAGTTCTGAAATCAAGATACAGATAGATTATTCAGAGAATGTCATCTCTCCAGCTATTCAATATGGAGAAATTGTTGATGTTTACATCACATGCAAACATTCAAATTTTGAGGTATTGGATATAGGTCATAAAAAAATTTTGTTTATAGGAAAAAAATACATTTCTTGGGACAATCCCATCTCACCTTTTGAATACAACAGATAAGGTGAAATTCAGGTTTCTGTGTTCCAATCGAATATACTTTTGAAATTTGTTTAATACAATCTTGCTTATGTAATCCACAACCCTAAAAACTGGGGGTTGAATCTATGTCTAGCTGGAGGGGATGTGGGGGGGGGGGCTTTATAAAGGTAAACTACATGAGCATAGACTAATTTTTCAAGGGAAACTTAATAAAGAGATAATTAAACTAAACTTAGGTGAAAGGAAGGTTTTAATAACAACAAAAAATATGACAGAAAAATGTGTCATTTTTAATTTTGTTTTTACAAATGTTTACATATGATGCATTAAGGGTGTGAAAAAAAACCTGAACGCTATACACGTTTTCCCTCATTAGCTAACTTATTATAATCAAATGAATTGTACAATCTCTCTAGGATGACAGAACAATATGGTAAAAAAATTATCAGAGTTTGTCAATCCTGCTCTTAGTTACAGCTCTATATCTCCCTTATATCCTCCGTCAAAATGTCTTCTCCTTAAGTCTTGTCTCCTAAATATGTTTAGGTTATAATAGATACCATTTTTAAATTAATGTTGATTAATCCATATATAATAAGCATTTAGAAGTTAAGACATTTAGCGGGAGGATATCGGGGTGAGGCTAGGAAGCACTATGGTTAAGTGTGTTGGCACAGCTCTATTTTTGAGAGTAAATTGCAGAACCGTGGCTATACAGGCGCTGCTTGCCTTCCCCCCTCCTCCTGACATCCTTGATAAATTGCGATATTGATTTTATTATGCTTGGATTATAATTAAGCCTGTGAGAGACAGAAGTATTAAGTGTTTGATTATTTTACATCATTTATTTATTTAACTATTATTCCAGAGCTTTTATAAAATTCTGATTTTATATATGCACTTTAGGTAAAACAGAAGTATTGGGCTATTTCAGGTTTCAAATTTCTGATCAACAATATGCATTATTAAGGTGTATGTGAACAACCACCACCAAGGATTTTCGAAGTCAAGCTATTCTGATGGGGAAATTAGTCCAGATTCCGTTGACATCACTTTTGATTCATCTGTGATCATGAATATTCTTTTTGAAACATTAGGCAATGATATATCAATGTTCACTCCACCAGATCGTGCAAATAGATTGGGTTGCAATGGTAATTATATTGTACATAAAACAGGTGCTACGACATCTGCTCTATTTCCATTTGCTCTATTGTCATTTGCTCTAGTTCCATTTGCTCTATCAAGTCATTTGCTCTATATGTCATTTGCTCTATATTCGATCTGCTCTATGACTAAACACGTCATTTGCTCTATCTATATATAAATTTGGCTTGTCTGTCTGTTTGTTTGTATCCAATAAACGTCAAAACGGCTGATCCTATCGGGCCCAAATTTTTTGTGGGACATCTAGGGACCCCAGGGAATGATTAAAACTTTAGATATTTGTCTCAATCAAAATTCGATCTTCATTAAATTTTTTTAAATTTTGAAAATCTACGAAATTTTTTGAGAAAATCCGCGAATTATTTTTGTTTGGTTTTACGATGTACACAAAGAGAACATTGTTCACAATTAATTTAGAAGATGGCTAGAAAGAAGGGCGCGAAGCGACTTGAATTTCTAGTAACATAAAAATACACTATAAAATAGCTTTTATTGGAATTCCTGAGCGTAACTTGACTATGAAATGCGGAAATTTTTCTTGGAAAATTTGCAAATTGCAGTTTTCATCAGTTCTTCAAAGTCCATCATGACAGCGAGACTGCCCAATAATTAGAGGGGTAAAAAAACCTAATATGTGGTGAAAACTATATTTATTCTACTCTAAACAAACAGGGTGTCTATCAGTACTGGAGATGTCTTGAATATAGAAGGCAGAATTGTTCTGCCATGGCTAAAACTTTCATAGATGGTAAAGATATTCTAAACTTGCCTGAGCACAGACATCCATCAGATATTGCTCAGATAAACTTCCTGTTAGCTGAATGTGATGCATTGAATAAAGCAATAGAAAACCCTGCTTTGCCTCCCTGAGTAATTCTTGCAGAAATAGCCAATAATCTTAGGCAACAGGGTGGCCAGCTAATGCCAAAGACTTTCAGTGCATTTATACGATCTTTACAGAGGGTAAGAGTTGCTCACAATGGCATCCAGTCACACCACACCACAGACCTTCACTGAAGCTGTGGAACTTCTTCCAGAGAAGTACAAGTTGACCGCTGGGGGTAAGCGTTTTCTTCGCTACTCAGGTGACCTGTTGAAACAGTCCGAAGTTTGGTATGCTGATGGAACTTTCTCAACAGCTCCTGTTCCCTATGCCCAGGTGTATATTGTGTTTGGAAACACATCAGAGGGCAAGGTTTTACCCTGTGCTTTTGGAGTTCTATCTAATAAGCAGACAGTAACCTACAGATCATTTTGGACCCAGATAAAACTTGTGATAGACAGTGGTATTCAGCAAGCATACAGTCCAAACCATCTTATCGTTGATTTCGAAGCAGCTGCCATCAAGGCTTTTTTAGAGGTGTATCCTGCAGCCAAGATAACTGGTTGTCACTTTCATTTCATGTATTATTGTAATTTCATTGTTAGAATAGACTAGAGACCAAAAAATAACTTTTTAATAATTTAGGAAGAATGTTGTCATCACATTGGAGATAAGGGCTGTAAGGGACAATACAACCAGTCTGCAGTATTCCAGCAGCTCGTCACATTAATGACGTCACTTGTATTTGTGCCGGCGGATGAAGTCATTGATGTCTGGATGAATGTGATTGAACCCTTCATGGCTAAGAATCAAGATGAAATATCCGAAGAAATGGACAACTTTATTGAATTATTTTGTGGAAACTTATCTAGGCAAGGTTGGAAGGAGTGGAAGAAGAGGTAATCCAAGAATAAAGATACCAACCTGGAACAAGTTTGCCTCAGTGTTAGAGAAGTTTCCATGTACAAACAATGGTGCAGAGGCATTTAACGGTGCCTGGAACAAATGTACTCCAACAAATGCATCTCTATGGTGCATTTTTGATGGTTTTCTCAGAGAAGAAGGTCTGGTGCATCAAAAAGTTCATGACGCTAGGGTAAATGTTGTAGATCCTCTTGCTCCTGGTTCTGCTAGGAAACAATACTCAAAGAACAAGGAAATGTTAATATTTAACTTGGTCTCACAATATGCACAAATACCAGACAAACAAAACTATCTCCAGGAAGTTGGCGGAATAATGAAACTGTAGGAAGAACTGTAAAATGTAAAATTGTAAAAATATTGTTTTAATATGATTAGATGTTCGTAAAATATGTTTATAGAGCAAATGACGTGTTTACTCATAGCGCAAATGTTGATTAGAGCAATTGGACCATCACAGTCATAAAAATGTTTATAGAGCAAATGACGTGTTATGTTATAGATCAATTGACGTATAGAGCAGATGACATATAGAGCAAACGTCGTGATCTATGAGCTATAGAGCAAATGGTTAATAGAGCAAATGGAACTAGAGCAAATGACCATAGAGCAAATGGAAATAGAGCAGATGTCGTAGCACCATAAAACAGGGTTTCTATTCTATGTATTATAATACCCTTTCAGTATTATTTTTTATATATAAATGCTTACCAACAGCAGTGACCACGGTTTATAACAATGACAGAAACTTTATTGACCACTTAGATGTTTTGAAATATCATAACCTAGAGGTTATGATTAGACTCAGCATTATAAAAGTGAGAAATAGGACATATAAAAGGATTTTATATTCGCTTAATTAACATGTGAGTATTTTTGATAAGTAAATCTTAACATCGCTACTAATGAAAAGATTGGTTGATATTTTAATTCAATATCCCCCCCCCCCACACACTAGTATACTATGAGAACGGTCATTACTGTAAAGGAACTGAGTCTTTGCCACAAACTCAAAATTTCTAATCCCTATATCTTNATGAGAACGGTCATTACTGTAAAGGAACTGAGTCTTTGCCACAACCTCTGATTTTCTAAACCCTATATCTTTGCAACCCAATATCCTAGACCTTGAATATTTCAAACTACAAATTCTGTTAGATTAAATAATCTAAGTTTGAAATAACAAAGGTTTACATCATCATCATCAGATTGCAAAGATAAAGAGATTAGAAATTGTGAGTTTGTGGGGAAGATCCAATTCTATTTGTTAGGAACGGTTTGCCACAAGGTGTTGGCTCATAAGGGAAAAATCCTGCAAGTCTATTCCACCCCAAATAAACAAAAGGTTAGTTTAAATGTCTAAAGAGAACAATCAAGGCAGAAGATTTAATTCTTTATAATGTGATGCATTTTAAAAAATTATGTAATAAAATATAAATGAATACATTAAAACATCGTAGAAATTTGTCTAAATATGAAAATCCAATTAACATTTCAGATAACTTACCTGACAGGGGAACCTAGCTGGAGGTGCCACCGAACTCCGACATACAACTTGAAATGTAATATTGTTGGATTTAACTGGCACACAACTAAAATGGTTGAACCTGGTCTCCCAACTACTTCTGTTTGCCCTGAAACAGATGGAAATGTTGGCGTCGCTGCCCAATGTGTCAGAGTAATCAAGCCCCTATATTCCTATCTAGATGCTGTCAAAGCTTGTGAGACACATCTAGGATTGGTGGCTCCTCCAATTGATACCATTCAGTCAACGATTTTAGGGTAATTTATGTGTATTCATGAAATATATTAACAGCAGGATAAGTTTAATAACATTTTTCTATACTCAGGGTGTATGCCCAGAGTATCGGCATTGATTCTTTTTGGATTGGAGTGACTAAAACCAATGGCATTTGGTTAAAAACCAATGGTGAAATTTTGTCAAATTATGAAATTCAACTTACAAACAACAGCTCTGCTGGTGACTGCATGATTGCTGACAAAGATTTAAATTACAAACACAAGATTGTAGACTGCAGTTTACAGTTTTCAGTAAGTTATAGATTTGTTTGTTTCACTGTATACAAAATGGTGACATGGAAACGCCTCAACACGGAAACGGATCAAAAATAAGCGGAAACCCCTCAAAAGTAGATTTTTTTTGAGTGTTTCCGCGATTTCTTCAAATTTTTCGGAATTCCCTCTAAATTCAAATTTTCAGGAGTTTCCTCTTTTTTTTGATCGATTTACCAGAATTGTATATGCGTTTCCGCTTTATTTTATTCAAATATTTTCGAGGGATTTCCCAATATTTTTGAGGGGATTCCCAAAATTTTTGGTATGTTTCCTTATTTTTTTGATCCGTTTCCTGTTTCTTCAAACACTTTTAAATTGATATGTTTCCTCATATTTTTTTATTGGTTTCCTCAATTTTAGGTCCGTTTCCTGATATTTTTGATCTATTTCCGCTTTTTTCAAAAACTTTAAAATTCTCATTTTGTTAATCAGTTTTCTCAAATGTCAGGTCCGTTTCCTCATATTTTTGATCCGTTTCCGCTCTTTTTTTAAAAACTTTAAAAATTTCAATTTGTTGATTGGTTTCCTCAAATTTTAGGTCTGTTTCTTCATATTTTTGATCTGTTTCCGCTTTTTTCATGAACTTTAAAATTCTCATTTTGTTGATCGGTTTCCTGAAATATTAGGTCCGTTTCCTCATATTTTTGATCTGTTTCCGATTTTTTCAAAAGCTTTAAAAATCTCAATTTGTTGACCGGTTTCTTCAAAATTTAGGTCCGTTTCCTCATATTTTTGATTCGTTTCTGCTTTTTTCAAAAACTAAAAAAATCTAATTTTGTTGATGGGTTCCCTCAAATTTTAGGTCCGTTTCCTCATATTTTGATCCGTTTCCGCTTTTTAAAAAAATCTCAAATTATTGAAACGCACCAAATAGGTTAATTATTTTTGAGGGAACCCATGGGTATTCCGGGAGGAACATCGGCTAAAAAAAAAAGATTTTTTAAGAAATTTTCTTTTTTCTTCAAATTTCGTTTTTTTAATTGCATGGCCAGCTAGAATTAAAATCTGGCAAAGAAAGAAAAACACTATTTTACAGCTACAGGGAACCCTGAATGTATATCTTTTTCTGAATGCTATACAATTTTTAATTTTTTTAAATCTTTATCCTATGTGTTTTTAAAATGTTTTACAGATTACACAAGTAAGACAATGAAGTATTCTTTTCTATGAAGGCATGAACTTTTGTAATCGCTTTGTGATCAAAAACTGAAGTGTATTTGTATCATGGTTCGATACATACATGCATGTGTCCCTGTATTTTTACATTATAGGACGACTTTTAGACTTAAGTTTTGACTTTAGTTCGATGAACATAAAACACAACAATGGTACAGTGTGCACTTATCATTTCACTTTTTTTTATTTTAGGCTACTGAAAGTAAAGCCATTTGTGATGTAATAACATCTAATACACTTAAATATTGCTTAAATGTCGTCTTTCTGGTTTTCCCTGTAGAGAATTGTAGTTTTAATCCTTAAAAAACATAAGTTCGGAAAAGTTATTTAAAAATATATAGAATGTATATCGTTTAATGAACGTGTACAGAGCGTCCCAATAAACATGGGAATCAGTGACGAATTCGGTATAGTCTTTGTTATGAATTAGCAGTGTAATTCCTAATTTCTAAAACCATAATAATATTATGTCTGCTAGAGTTTATTTAGTAAAAACGGTAAATGACTGTTATAAAGATTTGTCTATATGTCGCTGCAAGATGAACAGTGAAGACGGACAAGTTTACTCTGTTGATTTACTGTAATGTTCTTGTTTTACTAATTACACCCTTATGCATGGTCAAAACATAAACAAACAAATTAATAACATAGCAGAATTCGTCACTGAATTCCCATGTTCATTGGGACACCCTGTATGAAATCGTTATTTTTTATATTTATCAAATATTTTTTTTTATTAGCTGTAGAAATTACACAGATAAGACAAAAGGTATTATTTACTTAAAGGTCATACACTTTTGTATATGTTTTTTGATCTTGATACATGCTCATTTAAACTCTTTTTTGTGTATCACGCAATATATGGCGCCTACTGTGAAAGGTTTAAACAAATTAGTACACATATCTAGTCCTTTCTGTGGAATCAGTGATATATTATTTCATCAATATTTTATAAAAATGTTACAGTGAGAACCACAAAACTGTGGAACAGGAAGACAACTTTAAAACTAATTGTGCAGTGTGCACAGACCCATTTAACATAACAACTGATTTTTAAGGTTTTTGTAAAACCATTTGCTTTATAACAATTCATTACATATGCAGATAATTACTGTCGTCTTAATATTCCAAAGTTTAAAGGGTCTCACTGTAGTTTACATCTTTAATATTTCAAGTAGCATTATTTGTTAGTTTTTTGAACTGGAGGATTTAAAGAAATTCTCATTAAAAAATAGACCAGAACTGAAAATCACGAATTCTTTATCACAATTTTGCAAATTTTCTGTGATTCTGTAATTCAATCTTAATAAAATTCTAGAATTTGATAGAAATAATAAATATACACATTTTTACTTTTCTGAACCTTTGATTTTTTTAGGGAAAAAAGGTTCACTGATTATTTTCAACCATTCGATAAAAAAAAATATAAAATTTCAAAAAGTCCCCCCCCCCCAAATTCTTATACAATTAATTCCCTGATTCGTGCAGGGGCATTATGGTAGTGGAATCTAGATTCTATGTTCATAGTTCTTGTATTTCAAGATGAAAGACGACTTTTTATAATCGTCTATAATTAACAATATTTCAACAAACTATATTTTAAAATAAGAATTGATTAAATAGTATAGTATAGAATAAATAATAGTATAAAAAATGCTGTTTTTTTACTTCAAATTCTAAAAATACTCTCAGTACTCCCCTGCTGATACCAAAAAAAAGATGATTAAAAAGTTTTTCAATAAGAGGAAATGGATCAAAAATATGAGGAAACGGACCTAAAATTAGAGGAAACCGATCAACAAATTGAGATTTTTAAAGTTTATGAAAAAGAAGAAACGGATCGAAAATATGAGGAAACGGACCTAAAATTTTAGGAAACCGATCAACAAATTGAGATTTTTAAAGTTTTTGAAAAAAGCGGAAATGGATCAAAAATATGAGGAAACGGGCTTAAAATTAGAGGAAACTGATCAAAAAAATGAAATTTTTAAAGTTTTTGAAAAAAGCGGAAACGGATCAAAAATATGAGGAAACTGATTTAAAATTTGAGAAAACTGATCAACAAAATGAGAATCTTAAAGTTTTTGAAAAAAGCGGAAAAGGATCAATAAAATGAAGAAACGGACCTAAAAATATGAGGAAATTGATCAAATTGAGTAGTTTCCGTGTTGAGGCGTTTCCATGTCAAAGTGTGAACAGTTTAAATAATAGTGAAATAAAATGGGAACCTTCACTTTGAGCATGCATATTCCGGTAACTGTAATTCAAGACTTTTTGTGGGGTTATGAAGCAGATTTCTTGTGAAATGAAGAAACTTTAATTATCCTAATTATTGCACACTATCATAGAGAGCAAGATTAACTCACTCAAACTTACTTCAAAACAATTTTGTCTATCCATGACTGTATATAGAAGCTTTTATTGGTTCTATGCTCATGCATCAATTATCATTAATTTAGTGCTAATGTCTATTCAAAAGAATATATTTCAGCACTTCTGTTCCATCAGCCCAAATTGCCCTGCTAATTACACTTGGGTTCCTGAAATGGGGCGTACATGCTTACGTATTGGGGAATCTCCAGGAACTGTGAATAGTCGTATTGACTATTTTTCAGGTAGTTTAAGTTATGGAGTAGAAAAGCCCAACTACAAAATACATAAAAATAAATCACCCTAAAACAAAGCAGGTGATATTCATAAATTAAGTAAATATGTAATAATCCAAAACTATTTAAATCTAGGGGACAAATATTGTGCAAGAAGTGGAACAAGACTGTTTACACCACATACTCCAGAAGAGCTCAATACCATGATGAGATGGCTCAATACTCGGAGAAATGAGTATAGTCATGATTTTGATGTGCTTCTAGGTAAAAAAACGGATGCTAAGAACGTGTTCTTAAAAATACAGGAATGATTAGTAAAAGAACGGAGTGGGAATTGCTTGAAAAGATCGGTTAAAATAGTGAACATGTTCTTATTATCAAGAACCCGTTCTAAGTTTGGAATGCATTTTAAATCAGGAATGTGTTCTAAATCTTCTAGAAATAATTAAAGATTTTTTGATTTTATTACCTGACCCCCCTCCCCCACTTTAAACCCGCAACCCCCCCCTTCCCCGGTCTCTGCTAAACTGACAACACTCAGAGAACACAGCAGTTTTCAGTTTAACTTCTGTATATCATACATAGGACATATTAGGACGATCCCGCACCTCCCCCTGCTCTCACAAAATTATACATTGCTCAGCCCAGAAATTTAGATTTAAAATATATCATTTTCTTTTAAACTTTTTCTTGGATGGAATTGTTCATTACTAAAAACAGAACTTGGGATGGAAATGTTCTTGATTAAGAACAGAACAAGAGGGATGCAACCCTTCTTCAACTAAGAACTTCACAAACAGAGCGGAATGGTAGGACCGTTCTTCTACTCAGAACGGAACGGAATGGAACAAGAACGGAATGATTAAAAAAGAGAAACAAGAATGGAATGATTTAGTTGAAGGCCCTTGTTCTAGAACAGAACGGAACGATTTCAAGCTGTAAACTGTATTTTTCTTTGCCATACCATTCACATACTATTTTCAAGCTAAAAAAGCCAACTTGAACCTTCATATCTTCAAAGTTAACCCTATCCATTCTAGGCTATATAGGGTGGGGAGGGGTAGTTGTTTTTTGTGTATCCTCTCAATATCTATCAAGATCTAAACTGAATAAAAACAAAAAAACAAACAAAAAATATGCTTCATTTTGTTTTCTGGGGACATAAGTTAAAAAAAAAAATTGTAAAATGACTGGTCAATATTAACCGATATGTACAAAGACCGTTTATACAAAGAATGATTGATACTGAATTGTTTTAGGTTGGAAAGGAAATACACAGGGCTATAACAGGACATTGTTTCGGTCTCCGTTTAAAATGAAACCATCAAGTTTATCTGAAATACAAAATATTTTATCCATGGAAAACATAACTGAAAAATGCTTCAGAGTTGGACCTGCCTCAAGTAAAACACCAACCATTTACAACAATACATGCATTGATTTTACAATAGTTAGGTATGATGCAAATGCTGTTCGTCCAAGACGTTGGGACCCAGACATAAGAACCATTTGTCAGTTTACTGAATGTTTGACAACAGATAATCGAATATGTAAATTTCCTTTCAAATATAAAGGAAGACTTTATGATACATGTATAACAATTGACTCAGCTTTTCCATGGTGTAGTCTCTCTGTTGATGAAAAAAGAAATCACATAGATCATGTTAGCAACCAAGGCCGCTGTCAAGAATCCTGTTTTGTTCAAAACTGTCCTGTTGGGTTTTTCTCTCATGAAGACACATGCATACATCTTTCAGCTAGAACTTACTCTGATGTAACTAATAACATAGATGATGCTGAAGCACAATGTGTGTCTAAGGGAGCTCGTCTTTACCAACCAAGAGATTACACAAGCTTTGAAAGTTTAAAGAGCATGGAAAATGAATTTCTAAAACCAGGTTCTCCGCTGTTTTATTATTATTCTACAAAATCTTTTACTATTCTGGGTGCATATACAGAGAGGGTGTACCCTGGGTTACAGATTCTATATATGGATGGAACTAGAGCATATATGATCGAGAAAAAAATCTTTTTACAAGGCCCATTAAAGTCATCCACAATATCGAATGTGAACAAATTTACTGGGAAAGCTTGTGTTATGATGGATGATGGCGGATTTCTTTCTTTAGAACGTTGTTCAACATCATTTTATTTAGCCTATATTTGTGAAGCTAAGACAATTTTGACTGTTAAAGGACCAGAGAAAAACACATCTTGTCATTTTCCTTTCAAGATAGAAAGCAGTGACAACATGATAAGCTCTTGTATCATAAATGAAAACACAGGTGATCCTTGGTGTGCTACTAAAGTTGATGAGAATGGAGTCATGATCCCTGAAAAGTGGGGAACATGCATTGATGAAAGAAAAATTACATACAGGGGGAGTGGGGATGGAAATAATTGTGATTTTCCTTTTTTGTATGATCGGGTTTGGTATGAAAAGTGCATGTATGGCGACAAAGATGAGATCTGGTGTCCAACCAAACTTAATCCAACAAGAGAATTTAATGAAACAATTGATGAGTTTGCATATTGCACTGAATTTATGGGGTCTTCTGGAGGTGAATGTTCTCCTAATTATGACAAAGTAAATGGTTTATGTTTGAGAGTTTCTCCTCTACCAGAAACGTTTACGGATTCTGCATCAAAGTGTGAAAAGGAGGGGGCTTCCTTATTGACTATCGACAGCTTCACTCCCATTCACCAAATTAAAGAGTACATTCAACTTTTGTCTGTTACAAAGACATTTTTTGAGAAAGAATATGCTCCAGATCTTTCTTCCTATTGGGTTGGAGGAATTGTTAAAGACTTCAAATGGAGGTGGATGTCCAATAGTAAAAACTTTACATCATACTCTAATTGGAAGAATGGAAAAGAAAGTTCAGGATGCTTAGCATCAATTTGTACTGACAACTATGGCTTAACAATTGAAAGTGGAACATTTAACTGGGTTGCAGAAGACAAAGCCAAACTGAAGCCATATATCTGTGAGTCTAATTGTAAATTTGGGTACAAGTGGCATTCCAATGTAAAGAAATGCTTGAGAGTTACAGGTCTTGCTGGTGCAGTTTCTTATACTACAGCAATTTTAGAGTGTGCACAAGATAAAGCAAGACTCATACATTTCTCTACATGTGATGATTTTATTGCCTTGTCTAAAGACCTCTGGAAGCTAAATCAATCTCCTCTAGATGAATATTGGGTTGGATTCCTTGGGGGTGGTCTAGATGAATATAGGGCCCGGAGAGTTTCTGCTGATCAAAGATTGGGTAACAAGACCATTTCCTCCAATGGTTATGCAGGTGTTTTGGGATGTTCCTGGTTTACATCAGTAGATTTAGGTGCCCAACCATCCAAAGCTTTCTTAAGAAGTATGTCAGCTGACCAGATTACAGTAAGAATGGATTTTGTCCCTATTAAGGAAACTGGAGATTTAAGTTTAAAAGGTTTTATTTGTGAAGTTGAAAAATCATGGACATGTCCTGATAATTACATCATGTTTCAAGAAGAATGTTATCTGCTGATTAACAATCCACAATCATTTACAGAAGCACTAGTTCATTGTAACACCAACGGAAGCTCCCTTTTTGAACCTATGACAGAATTTCATATACAGTTTATTACTGAATATCTCAAACAAGAAATGATTGGCAGCACAACTGTGTGGACAGGATACAGGAAGGAATTATATGAAATGAGTCTGGATCAAAATAAATTTTATCATACTTCAGACTATGTGGAATCTTTCAGAAAGTTTCCAGGGATATCAGGTGGAATTTTTAAATATTTTATGAGCTTTTAGATAACCAGTCATAGCATTATTGGACACTTATTTGACTATTTAAAATTTAACATAATTTAATGTTACTAATTACAAATTAAAGTTAAATTAAACCATTGTTTTTGGACCAATTAAAGCTTGATTATCTTAGGAAGTGGTGACTGTGTTGGAATGGAATTACCTACAGCAGAGTTTAAGCTTCGGGATTGTTCTTTAAAACTGCCATACATTTGTCAAGCTTTACAAAGTTCACACCCTGATTCAATAGAACTGATGGGAATTCCAGAGTATGTCCATCCTCTGAATAATGTATCCAAGGACTCCATTGAAAGAAATGTAGGGTTCTCAGATATTTCAGTTTGGAATACAGAACTGAACCAGCCAGCCCTATTTATGGAATCTTCAGAGTCTTACATTGAGGACAGAAATACTAAGAGTATTTCTGCCAAAGAAGGGTTAACCATTGCACTCTGGATAAAGATTAAAACAAATTCCAATTTAAGTATACCTATATTGGACACTGGTAGTGTGAACCCTTTATATCTTTATTTTAGAAATCGTCAAGTAAGGTTTAGATATTGTGTGAACACAGCTTGCACAGAGGCCAATGTAATGATGTCACATACATTGATTACACTTGATCATTGGACATTTATTGCTGTAACATATGATACTGTAAATAATATTGGAACTTTTTTCATTAATGAAACCTATGGATCTAGGGACATTGAAGGATCTTTCTTTAGCCTTAACACTGAAGGATGGTTCCAAAACTATGCTGTAGGTGAAAGCATTAAAATTGGTGCAACAAATACAGAAGAGCTCGGATTTCTTGGAGAAATGTCATGCCTTCAAATTTTGAACAAGTACCTGTCCCCATCACAAGTGTATCAACTTTCAAAGATATGTCATGTCAATGCCAGCTATGAAAGAGCAAAGCCTTGTCCTGCAGGTTACCATCTTCTTCATGATTATTGTTATAAACTATCAGCATCGGCACTGAGCTTCAGTGATGCTGAACTTAACTGTACTTCAAATCCAAATGAAGCCTATGTAACTAGACTTACCATACCAGTAAACCATCAGATTCGGGAGATTATTGGTCTCATTGCAAGGCAATCAGTCAATACCAGTCATCTTTGGATTGGATTAGATGCATTTTCAGGTAACCACCTGTACAATTCTATGAAGGAAAATATTTGGGATAATTTAATCTTTTATTTGGTCTTCCATATAAAGTAGTAATCTCTTTTTTTGTCTGTTCGTGATCATAACTTAGGCCTCACTCTGGAACTGATACAACTAAATTTGTGGAACATGGTATAATCAAAAGATGTTCTTAGCTTGGTTTAACAAAATTTAATCCTAAACAGACTGGGGATGGGATTTTTGGCACCCCCCCCCCCCTGTAGTTTTTTTTGACTTAGCACTCTCATTTTTGACACTATCACCATGAAATTTTGTGACTTTTGATGAATAGTAATTTAAAGGATTGTTGTTAAAAAAATATTTTTTTAATTTATAGAGTAAGTCTGGTCTCTGAAAAAAAAAATCTAAAATAGCCCATTACTTTTTTGTGACTAAGGCTACATATCTAAAGACTTTATTTTTGAAAAGCCCTGAAAATTGTCACACTACGAAATTTGTTTAAAACAAAAAAATATTTCTTTCATTTTTTTTACCCTTTTTTAGATATTTTTTCCACCCTCCCTAGCACCCAAACTTTTAAATTAATCTGTTAATTTTTTTTTCTTTGAGCTGGCAATGAAAAGTTGGGCTATGAACATGCATTTCAACCTTATACCTATTTTCTAAGGCCTTTGTCTAAGGGAAGGGGGAGCCATTGCCCACCCCCCAGGCTATACATTGATTTGGTCCCCCCAGCCTTTACAGGGTTAAAATATGTAGGTCAAATATTACGGGAAAAACTTAGTTTACAGACTAAGCAAAGTTCCCTAGCTAATACATAATTTTGATGTACACTTAACTACATGTTGAAGCCCTGTTCAAAATTATAATAAAGTCATTGTGCATTAGGCAGTTAAATCCACATTTGCAATCTTCTTGACCATTTGAACCTAATAGGAATTGCTTTATTTCTCATTTTGTAATTTTCTGAACCTTTATAGATTTCACAAGGAATTAAACACTTGCCACAAACTCTAATTTCTAAATATTGTATATGTGCAACCTAATGGTGAAACTCTTACATAATCAATATTACACTATCTCAAATAACAGCCATCATAGGTTGAAGAATCCAGGAACTATTCTATTAGGTTGACAAAATATAATGATTAAAAAATAGAATTGGTGTCTCATGTGAATTTTCTTAACAATTTAGTACATCCTATTGGAACCAAATGGATCGACAGTTTTGGTACCGAGAGAACAGATATCCCATGGGCCGAAAATCAACCAAATTCATCTTTTCACTGTGTTGTCATGGATCTCACATTAAACTTGTAAGATTGAATTATAAATTGATATTTGTTTGAAACCATGTCTGTAAATCTTTAATTTTAATATTTTTAGTAAATATAAAAGTGTATCCTGTGATGAAAGCTATTTTTTCTTTTGCTCGACTCCTAAGAATCCCAAGTTTGTATGCCCTGAAGATCATTTCAGTTACAAGGGAAAATGCATCTTCAAGAGTACAGAGATGAAATCTTTAACTGAAGCAAAGCACACATGTGCACTAAGAGGAGGAATAGTGTTACCTTTAAAAAGTAAGGGTATATATTCATTCATGAGAAAATATCTTTCAATGGTACAGAGTAGAAATGTTTATGTTGGACTAAACATGACTTCAAAGATTAACCTATTCACTGACGGTTCATTGTACTCTTCTCAATCCTATGACTATGATGGAGAAGGTTCTAAACTTGATGGACATGATTGTGCCTACCTCAAGGAAGGAATCTGGTTTAAACCAAGAGGAAGCTCTTGTGTGGAAAAATATGAGTTTATGTGCTTATGGACTCGTAAGTTTTTTATTGAAACATACATGATTGTTAAACATGAGTTGCAATATGTTAGATATTTTAAATCATATTTGTATAATTACTTGTTTTAGCTCCAAATTGTCCACCAGGGTTTGATTTATATCCAGCTGAAAAAGATGGGAAAACTTGCTATTCAATATCTCAAGGTTAGACATCCTTCCTTTTTTATTCTTTTTTGAAGTTTGTTATAACCTGACAAACACTGTAGCACTAAAAACTATATTCATCCATCTAAAAAATAGTTTCTTAAAGGGCGGGATTGTCAGCATAATTTCAAGTGATTATGCATACAAAGAGGGCCTTGCCTGATTCACAAAGGGACACTTTAACCCTAACAGATCAATGATGGCAGAAAATTCCTTATCATCTACAAATTGATTATTTTTATTGAGAAAAACATATAAAGTAAAGGTGGGATAATTTCAAAATTTGGCATGTTTTGTTAAAAATGTTTAAATCCTTTTAGCACATGTCTTTAAAGTTTCTAAAAAAGCAAAACAAAAATGTAACATTGGTTTTATCAATTTTAAATTCATCCAGTGTTTTTGCAAATATTAACTCACTAGTTTCTTATCAAAATATGTCAATATGGGTACAAATCCATTTAGAAAACCTGAAATCTAAAATGTTAAAATCATAAAAATCATTTAAAAATTGAATAAATTATAGTCTTCCAAAAACAATAGTTTTTTGGCCCAAGATCAACCAATTTTCACAGGCAATATTCATTGGTTTGAGGCACAACTTTAGATATGTTTCAAAAATATTGATAGATTGTCCTTCCTTAGTGATGGTTGATTTTTATAATTTTTATAATTTAAAAAACTTAAAGAATTTTTTTTTGTAAGTTTATTTCAACAATTTCTGCTGCATGTTGGTAATTCTTGAAGAAAAAAATTCATATTCACCTGTTGAAGGTTTAAAGGAACCATTGTAAATATGGCATGGCCCTCTTTGCATGGAAGGTCAGTTGAAATTACACATACCGGCCCTTTAAACATAATTCTTTTTCAAAGGAATTTCTGAATTTTCTGATGATATCTGCAAAAGTAGCACTAACAATTTGCAAAGAAGAGCACTCCCTAAAGATCTCAATGTTATTCAGAAAGTATTCCAATGGAGTAGGTACATCCATTACAAAGTTAAAGCAAAAAACAAAAATATTAACTTTGCCTCATTTTCAAGTCCAACATGGGTAGATGGAAGTACAGAGGATGGATTTACCTGGTCCTCGCAGGTATTGTTATTTTGATTTTTGAAGTTTGATATTAATTATTAATAAAAATCTTTTTTGATCAGAATGAACGAATCAATGATTTTGATGCTCATTTGGATATTATTGACTTTTCCAAAGAACGTTCCTGGGTTTCTGCTGAAAAAAGTAAAGGTGAAATTCTCACTTTTACATAACATTTGTAGAACAAGGATACAATATAAAAACTTTTGAGATATCTAGTATGATTTTTTCTTACATTTATTAAACTAAAAATGCCTAATCATGATCATGATATGCATAATTTGCATTTAAAAATCAGCACAACTTTCAATGTTATTATTAATGCATGATGCAATCTAATCTATGAATGACAAACAGTTTACTTTATTTCATTCTGTGGTTATTGTAATGTATTGTCACTATTAATCAGGATACTTTATGGAGGATTCAACAAGAGCTACAACTCAACTCAAATTCAAACCAAGTATTTGCAGAACCTCAAAACAAGAAGTCTTCAACATAAATGGAACCTTTCTAACCAAAAGGCTTGATACAAATAAACCAGTGGTAAAATTATCCGGGGATTCCATGCAAATTAAATGGATTTTCCATAAAGGTGGGATTGATTCTACAGATGCTGATCAAACAAATACATTTTCATTAAACAGTGTGATAGGAACCAATGTCACTAACTCTCCTGAGCTACAACTCACTGGTCACGAACTTGAAAACTCTTTGAATTTTTTCTTAACACTGTCATGTGATTTCTCTGAATTTACAGTAACTTTTAATAATTTGTGGAGCCAATCTATTGGATATAATTCCACACTTCTGGATGAATTCACAGAGTTAACTATTTCTGGGGCAGTGTCAATACATAAAGCTGGATATGGAGGAAAGGTAAGAAACATTTCTGATTTCAAATGATTTTTGAATTTTAAATCATCTTTTTAGGGTTGTCTGACTCTTGCACAGAATGGAAGAATAATTCCAAATTATGGCCATGAATGTAAGAAGTCTCTTCCCAGCATTTGTGAGTTTCAAGCTTGCTATACCCAAGATGGCTTTTCTTGCATAATTCCATTTACTTACAAGAATGTTTTGTATAAAAATTGCACATCTCAAGACTTGTATAAACCTTGGTGCCCCACAGGTAGAATTTTAAATTGTAGAAATATTTAAAATTGTCTACTAAAACTACATCATATTCAGGATTAGACTTCCACGGTAATATAACATCATGGGGTTTTTGTTTGGAAGACTGTCCCTTTGAACCACCATCTCCTTCCTGCTTAGAACCTCCTCCGGTACCATCATTTGCATCCTTTGGCAGTGATGAGAAGAATTTTTATTCTTCCTGGTTTGAGATTCATGCACAAGAAGACTCAGTTTATAAATTAACAAATGTCCGGATTAGGCAACATCATCCTGAATGGTTCTATGACAAGTTGAATATAACGGATGAAGTTCAAATTTTTACATCAAATAGTTCTGCCAATTTTAAGGAAATCTATGGAACAATGCCTAAAGGAACGATTGTGAATTATACTTGCCCTCTAGGATATGTTTTTAATGATTCCTTCAATATATTTTTTGAGGCTGTTTGCCAAAATTGGACTTGGATTTCCTCCTTCAATAATGCATCCAAATGTGTTCGTAAGTGTCATGTTAAGTCCTAATCTAAACTATAAATTATACCTAGAATTTAGGTTAAAAAGAATAGATATATGTTAAGTGTTTAAACACTTTCTATAGATAGAAATGTGTGACAAATAATGTAATTTAATTTAGCTGTTGTGTGCGATGAAGAGGTTCCTCAAAGTCCAAATAATACTATCAAAGCAACTAATGATGCTCTCAGCAGAAGAAAATCTGAACCTGACTGGAACTCCTATTTAAAAAAAGTCAAGTACTCTTGTCCTCCTGGTCACGTATTGGAACAACCTAATAATGACACTGAACAGGATCTTGGGATAGCAGAGTTTGAAGTTATGTGTGACTCTGATAGACATTGGAGACCTGTTCTGTCCTATAATCCTTTCCCAAACCCTCCAATTATGCCAGAATGTATACGTAAGTGGCAATATTCAATGGAATGTCCAACATGGTTGCAAGTAACCTTCATCTAAAGAGTTTCAGGGTCAATAGACATCTGTATTCTTTACAACTAAGCAAAGAAAAACTCTTTTTTTCTTTTTACTTAATGATTTATTTTTATTGTTGGTTTCTCTGTAAATGTTGTTGGTGGATTTATAGAGAAAATGCAAAGAAGAAAATACTCTGTATTAAAGCCTTGGAAGAAATCAACATCATTGAAGTACTATTGGAAACCCTAAGGACATTTCTTCGGAAACCCCTAGATTCTTGTTGGAGACACTCAATTTTTGTAGGAGACCCCATATTTTCATTGGATACCCCCAGATTCTCATTGGATACCCCCCATATTTTCATAGGAGACCAAATATTTTCTTTGGAAACTACCATATTTTTGTTGGAGACCACCAGATTCTAGTTTTCATAGGAGACTTAATATTTTCATTGGAAACCCCCATTTTAGGAATCCCCAGTAAAAATTGAGGGGTCTCCAAAAAAACTGGGGGTCTCAATGAAAAATGGGGGGTCTCCAATTAAAATTTGGGGGTCTCTAAAGTAAATGTGGGGGTTTCCAATGAAAATATGGGGGTTTCCAACGAAAATTTAGGGGTCTCCAAAGAAAATATGAGGGTTTCTATTGGGTTATTAGGGTCTACAACAAAAAACAAAAACTCCTAAATGAGGGCATCCAATTTTTGAGGGGGTTACTCAAAATTACATTTTTAATAATCTTGTTAACTTGATGAATTTATTTAGCTATCAACTGTACAGCTCCCTACATTATACCAAAAAATGGTCAGGCTACCATGAATTGGACTGAAGTCATTGGAATGTCTCGGCCTTATGGAAGCATAATTGAATATCAGTGCACAATGAAGGGATGGGGTTACATGCATAATGGTTTAAGCCAGACTATTTCATCATGTCTTAGTAATGGAGAATGGAATGTCACTGACGTGCCTTCATGCATTAGTAAGTTATGTTTCGTTTTATTTTGAATTTAGAGATTGTCTGATCAATTCTCAATGACAAATAGTCAGAAACTCATTTAAACATTAAACAGTTTGAAAATACATCTTCTTTCCGCTGAGCAGTTGGAACTTTAATGTCTTACTGACTTTGAATAGATTTTAATATAAACTTACCTTAGAACTGCCATGTCCTGACCAGCCTCCACCTATTCCAGAAGGTTCTGGAGCAATGAGGATTTACAACCCTGATGTGACCAGGTTAGAAAATCCCAAAGCGCAAACTAACTTCAATTATTCTGTGCAGACTTGTATAAAAAGATGACATTGTTAACACCAGTTATACTTCCAATGAATTAGGTACAAATGCAAGAATGGTTACATGTTCTCAAATGGAGATTTTCCTTTCTTGGATAATGAATGCCTTCCAACTAAGAAATGGTCAATGAGTATTCTATTACCTTGTATAAGTAAGTAATATTTTGCATAACGTATAGGCCCAGGGTATATTGGCTTCTAAGTACTGGGAACAAATTTTATGAATTTGAGAATTCGCTTAACTATACCTAAAACTGGTTCAAATCCAGAACCACAGTTTTAAAATCCTGATAAATGTTTGACTTTGATTTGATTTTGGAAATTTCTTAAATGACTGGATATTTGGGGAATTTTCCGAAAACCTAGGTATCATGGAAATTTCCCAGATACCTGAGAATAAAGGAAATTTCCAAGATACCAGGCATTTTGGAAATTTCCCAGATACCGAGGCATTTGGGAAATTTCCCAGATAACCAAGCATTTGGGAAATTTCCCAGATATCGAGGCATTTGGGAAATTTCCCAGATACTCAGGCATTTGAGAAATTCCCCAAATTCCTATAGGTTTTTAAGATTTTGGAAATTTCTCAAATGACTGGATATTGAGGAATTTCCCAAAAACCTAGGCATTTGGGAAATTTCCCAGATACCCAGGAATTTGGCAAATTTCCAAGATACCCAGGCATTTGGGAAATTTCCCAGGTACCCAAGCATTAGGGAAACTTCCCAGATACTCAGGCATTTGGGAAATTTCCAAAATCTTAAAAATATACCACTTTCGAATATCTGTAGGTATTTGAGAAATTTCCTAGATGCCCAGACATTTCGGAAATTTCCCAGATACCCAGGCATTTGGGAAATTTCCCAAATTATATGGAGAATTCCCCAAATTCCTGGGTTTCTTGGAAATTTCCAGTCTTTTGAGAAATTTCCAAAATCTTAAAAATATTCCACCCTCAAATATCTGTAGGTATTTGGGAAATTTCCCAGATACCCAGGCATTTGGGAAATTCCCCAAATTTCTATTGGTATTTGAGGGTGGTATATTTTAAAGATTTAGGAAACTTCTAGAATGACCTAGGCATTTGGGAAATTCCCCAAAAGCATGGGTATTTAGGAAATTCTTCAAATGTCTGGGTATTTGGGGAAATTCCCAAATGCCTGGGTATCTTGGAAATTACCAGTCATTTGATAAATTCCCAAAATCTTAAGAATATACCACACTCAAATATCTGTAGGTATTTGGGAAATTTCCCAGATACCCAGGCATTTGGGAAATTCTTATTTTTGACATGTTGATAATTGCTTGTTTAAAAAATAAAAAATCCTTGAAACTTTTTAAATGAAATTTTAAAAGTGGCACTCAAATATAAGATGAAATATATTATAAAATATCAATGATATACGAATGCATTCAATTGAATTTGACATTTGTTGGTTGTAATATCTAGATGATTAGTTTCAAATTTTATTTATTATTTACAATTAGAGTGGAATAATGAAACTCTGTGAATTTGTAAGGATGCTACTCTCCTGAGTGTATTACGTTTTAAACCATCATATACAAGTAAAATTAGTAGCAATCAATATGGAATTCAATTCGATAAAAGCCTGTACGGGATACCCCATTTCTTTTTTTGCTAACACTCCCTTTAAACGGACTGTAAGAGGAAGTACAATTGAAACTATCTGTTTTAAACTTGATCAGACAATGCTTTAAAAGTGAATCGGACATTGGCACCATTGTAGTGAAAGTCTCCTAAACTTACCCTTTAAATTCCTACTAGAGAGAAGGTGCACAGAGCCCCCTCCTCCTCCTCTGTACAAGTATGAAAGGATCTGGTTCAACAAAGTAAATGAACTTGGAGACAAGGTTATCTATCGATGTCCAGCAGGGAAGCTCTTAGACATTCCACTTCCTTCGTAAGTTTATTTACCATGTAGATACCACTTCCTTTGTGAGTTTATTTACCATGTAGATACCACTTCCTTTGTAGGTTTATTTACCATATAGATACCACTTTCTTTGTGAGTTTATTCACGATATACCACTTCCTTTGTAAGTTTATTTACCATGTAGATACCACTTCCTTTGTGAGTTTATTTAACATGTAGATACCACTTACTTTGTAAGTTTATTTACCATATACCACTTCCTTTGTAAGTTTATTTACCATGTAGATACCACTTCCTTTGTGAGTTTACTTACCATGTAGATACCATATACCACTTTTGTAAGTTTATTTATTATGTACATACCACTTCCTTTGTAATTTTATTTACCATATAGATAAGGGGTTCTAACTTCTAACTGATATTACCAAAACATTTTTAGTTCAGTGTACCTGCCTCTAAACCTGGCCGGAACAGTTGGATAGCTATTAAATTTTAAACAGCAAAAAATCCCTTATATTCAACAAAAATCGCTTATTTTGCAGCAATAGTTGGATTGCTGCCAAATCAGCGATTTTTGTTGAACTATGAAAGTCATTTTTTGATGAATATAAGCAATATTTTTGACTTTGAAATTAAGCGTGCAGAACATAGATTTGTTTACCCAATTCTTCAAATTTAAAGAATTGAACACTTGCCCCGCATTATATCTAATTTACTAATTCCTACATATCTCCAACCTGATTGTGTAAACCTTTAAAATTTCAATCTTTAACAAATTAATCACTTTCATTTCTTAAAATATCAAAATATCAAAAGTGTCAAATTATCAGTGGGTACCCGGCTCTGAACGGATGGAACTGGGGACGATATGGAACAATGGCACATCCTCAAAGGGGTAAATTTAATCATTTTTACCAGCTAAAAGAGATTAAGTCAGTATAGTTTTATTACACCTGCCTTAAACCCTCCCCGGACAACTTTGTTCTTTTCTCAAAACCTTGGAATAATTCTTTGCCATATAAGATATCCTTGTTTCTCTTTATTCATGACGTATTAATGATCAATGTCTTACATCTTTAATTTTAATTTTAATTTTTAATCAACAATATTCACATATTATTATTATGTCCAAGCCTGTGCAAACATAGACTGTTTAAGATCAAGAAGTATTCTGTGTGTGGAAGCATGATATTAGTCAAGGGTTTAATGATTCAATGGTATGGTGGCCTCAGACACTCCAACCTTGTAATGGTAAGGTCAAACTATTGAGAAGAAAGAATAAGAATGTACAATATAAAGAAAAAAGTTTCTCTAACACCTTTATTTTCATGCTTCATGGAATCAACGTGGCATAACATAAATAAAAAACTTCAAAGGACCTGTCAAATCATTCGTTGGGATGTTTAGAAAGATGAAAATTTCCCTGTGTGATAATTGAAGGACTGCAGTATGGTTTTGGTGTTTATATTGGCGAACTAAGCCTAGGGGTGTCAGAAATGATTTTTTTGCATATTCTTAGAAACTTCTAGAAAACTTTTAAAGTTTAATTTTTGATAAAACTTTTTGTTCTGGATGATTGCAAATATCTATCTAAAACTTTCTTAAACCAGCATATTTTTTCTATATTCATTTAGATAGGAGTTTGAGTCAAAATAAGTTTTAATAAATATTGCTTTATATCGAGTAGATATCCTTAAACATACCGATGTAAAACCTTTTATAAAGTATGAAAGATTCTGCAAAAAAAAGTTGCCAAACCAAACAGAATTTTTATTTTGAACAAAAATATTTAGAACTGAAAAAAGCTTTTCTGGGCTGCACTTTACTCTAGTCTTGCATTATTTTCATTTGTGTAAAACAGTATAAAAGACATTCTTTTGATGGTTTAAAAGTAAACAGCTGATGATTCATTGGAGGGAGGAATGGCAAAAACACCAATTTGTAATTCCCAAAATCTGTTTATGGAAAGTGATTGTAACAGGGAATACGGAGTGCTTCAGGGTCCAGGGTACTACAATATACTGCAAAGTATTGGGCTTTACTGGGGGGAGGGGGTACAGAAATCAAGCCGAATTTTTTATTTTTAATAAAAAGATATAAGTACAGTCAGAAGCACTTCTGAGCATATTTTCTTTATAGTTTTGCACTATTTTCATGGATAAAAAAAGCTAGTTTAATACTAATCAGTTGATCACTTAATGGAGGGAGGGAGGGCAACAACGCCAATTTGTAATCCCCACATCTGCAGGGTACTGTTGGGTACTATGAGGTTCTTTGGAGTACTGTTGGGTGCTGTGGGGTACTGGGATAAAATAAAAATTCTGTTTTGTTTCTGTACCCCCTCCCCCCAGTATACCCCAGTAAAGCCTAGTACTTTGCAGTACATTGTAGTACCCTGTACCCTGAAGCACTCTGTATACCCTGTTACCATCACTTTCCATAAAAAGATTTGGGAATTACAAATTGGTGTTTTTGCCATTCCTCCCTCCAATGAATCATCAGCTGTTCAGTTTTAAACCATATAAACATATTCTCTTTTATACTGTTTTACACAAATAAAAATTACGCAAAACTAGAGTAAAGTGCAACCCAGAAAAGCTTCTATATAAGTTCTAAATATTTTTGTTTAAAATAAAAATTCTGTTTGGTTTGGCAACTTTTTTCTGCAGAATCTTTCCTACTCTCTGAAAGGTTTCACATCGATATGTTTAAGGATATCTACTCGATATAAAGCAATATTTATTAATACTTATTTTAACTATAACTCTGATCTAAATGAATATAGAAAACATATGCCGGTTTAAGAAAGTTTTATATAGATATTTGCAATCATCCAGAACAAAAAGTTTTATCAAAATTAAACTTTTTTAGGTTTATGGGTCGTTTTCAAAAAAATTTCTGACACCCCTAGGCTTTGTACATCAATATGATTCACCAAATCCATACCGCAGTCCTTCAATTATCATACAGGGAAATTTTACACTTTCTAAACATATGCATCCCAGGGAATGATTTGACAGGTTCTTTAGTTATTTCGTTTTTTATTTACGTTATTTACCACAATGGCCTTTTCTGTATAGTAACAGGTAAGAAATTATTTTTATATCAAGGGAAAAAAATGCCAAAAAATAATTAAATAGAGCCTAGCGGAATATCTTAGCCTTAATGTATCTGTACATATAGCCTAAGCTAATCTGCAAAACAATAAAAACTATTATTATGATATCGTAATCGTGTCTCCAGATAATAATGTTGTTTATGTATATTGTGATAATTATAATATTGTATTAACTCTTTTATTAATAGGAGGAAGGACTTTATATATAAAGGTATTATACACATTTTTAGATTCTTTCTAGGTTTAAATCTTTTCAGTCTAGGTTTGCCAGGAAATGATTAAAAAAAGGTATTTTGTTTATTTCTTAATTAATAAATATAATATGCTCATAAATAATTATTGATTCTGTTTTTATTTTAGAGGATTTTGAGAAAATATTTGAAAGAGATGCAGCTTAAATATCTGTGTTAAGACTGAAAACCTTTTTTTAATACAGTGATAACCAGAAAACTATAGAATGGTAACACGACATTAAAGTAAAACAGAAGTGCCTTCAAAGCACATATTTTTACTATAAAGGCTATCAAATTATTTAATAAGTGAAATGGGTCTGTTTACGCTGCACAATTGCTGTGTCTTATGTCGACTTCCTATTCCAGAGTTTGATGAATATCATTGTTTATGTATACTGTATTTTTGATAAAATTCTATTTTTAATAAAATTGTATTTTTTGATAAAAATTGTATTTTTGATAATAAATGTATTTTGATAAAAATTGTATTTTTGATAAAAATTGTATTTTAATTTGTATAATTACATAATACATATGTTATATGATATTAAATATTGTTAAATAGTAAACAAATTATTAGTTATTCATACACCATTTTAAAAAAAATATTTAAAGCAATTATTTTTCAAAACCCTGTTTTGAATCTCAAGAATTTTAAAGGGAGGGTGCAGAAAACCCTAAATTAATCAGGCAAACATTTAAAAACTGTAACTTTTTCTTGCAAATAATATAAAAAAAAACAAATAAAACCCCTTTTTAACTTTTTTCCGGTCCCAGGTAGGGATGGGCATTGCTTTTGTGAATAAACAAAATATTTTGAAACAAACAATATTTTAGGTGAACCATAGTGTTTCAGAAAAACTAAAAATTCAGATATTTAAAAATCCATCATTTTTCAAAACAAAGGAGAAATACAGAAACGGTCGTTTGCATTCTATTGATCATTCAGAACAATTTATAAATTGTTTGTTCAAACAAACTTGAAGCAAACTATCTTTTCATACTAAATAAACTATTATTTCAAGCAAACATTTAAAAAGTGATTACTAAACAAACGATTTCACCAAAAGAACCATATAATTGAACGATTGTTTAATTAGAAACAGCCAAAATTGATGGAAAATGAATAATATTCTAAAAAAAATTAATTCAAATTTACTAAACACGCCCATCTCTAGTCACAGCTAAGGTGCGCAGAAGATGTCCATAATTGTGTTTTTTTTTAGAAAATATAGATATTTTTCACCCATTGAAGCTTACACCACAGTACTAAGAGGAAGTGTCTGATGAGCCCACTTAAGAAAATTACATAAATAATTCATTAACACTTGTTATATGGAAGTGTGTATATGATCGAATAGTTTACATAGTTGAAAAAGGTATCAACATTTTTTCAAAAAATGGGTTTTTAAGGCGGGGCAAAAATGCTCTTGTACGCCCCTGTTTCGTGTATTTTAGGTCTTTCAGGACACTTAAATGATGTGATTAAATTTATCAAGACTTCAGTTAAATGTTTTTTTTAGTAATATAATAATAATAATAATAATAAATGTATTTCAATTAGATTGATTGTTAAAAAATAATTTTATGGTCTAGATTGATTGTTACATAATATTTATGGTCAATGTATAAATATAAGTTGTCAAAAAATTTAAATCTGTTACGTATTTATGTACATAAATAGTCTTTCTCTAGTTTGAGGACTAACAGAGTCTAGATACTGTTTAAGTTAGCCCATTGATAAAATATTTTTTTGGGCTGATCCTTTCGTGAAGAGATGAGAGCTAGATAGTTGTGAAGAATGGTTAGCGATTCCTTGAGTGCAGGTTAACTAAGGCAATAAGAATATTTATTAAATTACAGTATGAGTCAGGAGCAGCAGTCCAGAACAATAATTTATCCATTATGGCAATCAGGACACATAATATTGATACAAGAAATATGTTTATATGAATTCAAATATTCGACACTTAGATGATTTTTCAGGGAGTTTCTATTTTTAAAGCTTTCAGATCTTGGGTTAATTTACTAGGTAAAATAAAAGATGGAAGAACATTAAAATAAAAATATTAATTAATTTGTCTCAAATTAATTGAAATTCTTCTTTTTAAGAAATTGTGAACATTATATAAATGATATAGTGGCATGTCTGATTCACAACTGAGCTATGTGATGAAGTAAGAATTATATATTAATGTTTATGATTATAAAAAGTGATCATTTTCAATCATCGGTTCTCTTTTAAAGTCAGTTGCGCATTAAAACTGCAGGATCAGAGCTAAGCACTTTTAAACCTAAAAAAACAAACATTATGAATCAGATGACAGTTTCGAGGGTACATTGTGAATCCGGCATTGCCATCTTTGCATGGCGAGTCATGTGTAAATTATGCTTACAGTTCCTTAAACAGTACTTATCAAATCTTATTCTAATCAAAATGTTATTATAGCTAAAAGTGCTAATTAATCCAGGGTATATTTCTCAAAGAGGAAATTCTTTAATTGAGATAAAATTATTTTGATGAAGCTTAATTAATATAGATTGATTTCAATTTAACTAATAAGAAAAAGCCCAAGGAGAAACCTTTCAAATCATATAAATTAAATCATGTAACTTAAACCATTATCTGGTTTCATGCAAAGGGGTGTTTATAAGATGTATAAAGTAATATTTGGAATAACAATTTAAAACATGAAGACACAAAGAAGAGATAGAAACAAACCAACATTTTGAACAATGGTGGTACTGAAACATACTTTTGAAGTCATCCTTAACCTAGCTTATAAAAAGCCAAGAGCAGTTTCAAGTCATGCCAGTATTAGTTGTACCGAAATCTCAAGTCCTGAGAAACTTTTTTATTATAAACTATTAAGTGTTAAACCTTTTGATGTCTGCTCTGCTAATTCTTCCCTCTGAGATTTCATTGTTTGCCCAGTACAGGGTGATTTTTAAAAGTTTATTTTTAAAAAAATTTTGAACCTGATATTTGGAAAATTTGACTATTTTACATCACAGATATCTAGAGCAATTCAAATGGTCAGAAACCGTATTTAAACAGTTTCGCAACAATTATTTTAACAATTATTATTGGGAGAAAATGGAGAAAAATGTAGAAAAATGCCGGATTTTTGACACTGTTTGACCTGTTTAAGAAAGACCTGAAATCTTTTTTATGTGTGTATCGATTGCTGCATTAGAATATATCAAATGTCAGATAGTAAGCAAGAAATTGGGAGATTTTCTTATTCAATATTGTAGATCTTTAATCCAATTCAGCACAAATTAAATAAATTGATGTTTAAAAATCAACCTTTTCACTTTCACAAAAATTCCATTATTGTCCATTAGACACAGCACTGTTTACACTGTTTTTAATTAGGGCTGGGCAATAGGCAAAAAGTTTTGTTATAAATCAACATGTTTTTGAAAATTAACAGAAGGACTGGCAAAATCCTTTCTTTTTAAAATTGTTAACGAAAAGAAATATCTTAAATATGAGATTATTAATAAATGGTAACCTTACAAAGAAGGGAGAATATTATAAGATGAATGGAATGTTCAGTTCTTTTACAACAATTTAACTGAGCATTTACAATTGACTTGAGACAGTCTGAGCATGTCCAGGCCTACTTTTAATTGTTTTGAATATTCAACTGAAAGATGAGAATGCTGTATCAATGTATCATGCTCCTGGGCATAAGCTTGGGAGTTCTGATGATGAAGATACAACCTGTAATATCTGAATGTAGCAAGAAAGAGGAGCAGCACAGTTGTAATACAATGCAATGGTTTATCAGGAATACATTATATTATACACTTGGTACCCTCATTATAAAATGAACACCCTAACAGACAGTATGAGTTTCAGTTCTCAGTTAAAGTTTAAGATTTATTTTCATTATTTTGTGGCACTGATAGGTTCATACCCCTATTTTGCTTCATTAAAAAATTCAATATATTTAAAGATTCTTAGAAAAGGACTGTTAGCAATAGCATTATTTTAAGTGATTTCCCACTCAAAAATGGAAATGTCCAATTAAAAAACGGTACTCTACTATTCCAGATTTTCATACTTCTTTAAATTAAAATTATCAAAATCATCTTCCAAATTTTTATAATGTAAATTTTAGAAAAGAGCAGAGTTTTAACAAATGTTTAACCATTTATGTTGGGTATATTATATCTATTTTTATTACTTAATATATTTATAAAGGGGGTGTTTGAGTAAAACAGAAGGGGGTTATTCAATTAATTTCAAACTGATCCTTTTTGCAATAAAAACATTCTTAATCCAATTTGAGTTATTTCATTTACAGTTTTATTTTAATTTGGTGAGTTTATCTTGCAGAATAATAATGTAACCACTATACATAAGAATCTCTAGCAAATCTAAAATTCTTACTTTAAGTCTGGAATGTTTATACATTTTTCTTATTACTCAAAGATCAGATTTTAATGGGATTTTATTCATTTCTTGAAACTTTTTTTTTACCAAAACATATATTATTTTCTAATGTTATTTTGAAGCTTTCATTAGAGTAACATACAGTGATAACCAGAAAACAATTTAAGCTGATGCACGAATAACTTAATATTCTGAAAAATATTGCAATATGATTGTGCTCCATGAGAAAAGTTACAGTTGAATGCTCTGTTTTACAGTGCGTCCTTCATCATATCAGATTGTGTTTTACAGTGCGTCCTTCATCATATCTGTAACGGAGTTCAAAGTGCATATTTTTAACAAAGAATGTCAGATCATGGTTGGAATCAATTATTTCTGTATATGGGAACTCTGCTGGGTGTTTACATAAACTAAAACTCCTATTTTGTAAAATTCACAAACGAATGTAACAGATTCTTTAAGAATTGATATTTGTGCTTTTATGAATAGTTAAAATGTATTTATATGTTTGTATTTTNTGTTTTACAGTGTGTCCTTCATCATATCAGATTGTGTTTTACAGTGCGTCCTTCATCATATCAGATTGTTATTGTCTCTAAACTAGGAAAAGTTAGGGAAAATGAATCATTTAAAAAAAATTGTAGAAGTCCATTGTAAAAAATTTCTTTTCAAGTATTATGTGCGTATTTTGGGCTCTAAAATGTTGAGATATTCCGATTTGATATGTGACGCTTTGTATGTCAGAGAGAGAAAGCTCTATATCCCCTGAATTAAGGTTTGGATTCAACATCTTTGTTGCTTTTTAAAAACATAAAGAATCAAATAATTGGTCACTCTCAATTCCTTCACTATCCATATGAAGTAAAAAAGGGGCTTAGAGAAATGTTTAATATAAGACAAAACTTATAATTCTTCTTCAGAATTGAAATTGCGGAGAAATGTCATGCGTCTGATCAGGTCCTGGTTATAAAGGATGGAAATAAACTTGAATCCCTGCAGAAAACTACTTTGAACTTACCATATTGTGTGTTTTTAATTACTAACAAGGTAAAGCATGACAAAAAATGTTAATGAATGTTTTACCAAACTTATAAAAATGATACCCAGGTTCAAATCTTGAATCACCAATAAAAATTTTTAACTTTCAATCGGTGGTGATGGAGGATTTGAATAGGTGGTAGGTAGTTCATTGACCTATTTCCAATTCATTAAATTCAATCCCTGACAATGTAACAACAGCAGTAACTAAGGATAACATGGGTTTCACTATGAACTTTGAAACATCATACTGATTAAGCTGTTTTTGTGCTAGCATTCATCTTGAATCTTTCCTAGCACTGGAACGGTTAAAATTTAAGGTCTCGTTTTTTGATGTTAAGTGTTATATACCTCCCAAAATATTCTGTACCTTGCAAAACCTATTGCTGAGATTTAATTTAAGGTTAACAAAAATGATCAGTTTTAAAAACAACCTTTACACAATTATCTTTTTTACAACTTTAACTCTTTCGCACTGAGGAAGTAATGTGATGTGGTGTCGTTTAAACAGGAAACTCCATTAATGGTTTTTAACTATTAGTAAGAAACATCAATATTAGCCCATTTTGTATGGCAAAGAAATTAAAATTCTATTCCAGATTTGTTTAATTCAAATGATTTTAAGAAAAATATATTTTTTTTACTTTTCATGTCATATTTTACAAGAACACAAATATTGGACATTTATAGCACCATAATTACATATTTATTATATATTTGTGATTTGAAAATTTTTAATTAAGTCTGATTTTTGTAAGGTTTTCAGAATTTTTCTTACTTTTTATTTAAAAGTTCTCGGCTTAAGGGTAAAGCCAATAATTAATTAATTGATTTTATAGATGTGATCTGTTGGTTTTCTAGGCAGAAGTAGTAGACAATGTCCCTCAACTAGGTTTTATTCCTACACTTACAATTATTTTTCAAGACCACAATCAACCTCATAAACATAAACTAGGAAAATTAAGCATTACCATTATTTGAAAAATCTTAAGTTCACAATTATAAAGATATTTGAAGATGTTTAGTGAAAAAACTTGTTCTGTAAATGATATTTTCTAAAGGTATATCTAGCTTACTAATCCTCTCAACATATTCAAATAAATTAACTTATTGGTAAGGCTTGATTTGTAATTATATCTTTTTCATATATCAAAACTAATATTATTATAGGGATATGCACAAGCAGTGTTTTGAAGGGGTTTGGTCAACCTACTATTCTACTGTTTGGTTTAATAGTACAAAAAAAAATACTGAAATAAACTCATTTCAAAAGCAAAAAATAAGGTCAGTGATTTGTCATCATTCATCCGCAGTACAATGTAATCTATTTATATTAAATAGTAACCTCTGTTTGTTTCTTTGTCTAATCATACCTCAGTAAACCCTTAACTGATGTGAGTAATATTTTGATTTTGGAACTAGGGAGATTCACCAAAATAGTATTAGCTCTACGTTGAGTGGGCCGACTTTTATAGGAAAAATAGCTAAAATCGTAACTTAAGACCAAGCGTGTGTAAAAAGCAGGAGTAACTGTAAGAAATCTGGGCAACGCTGGGCACTTTCGCTAGTTTTCAATAATTTTCCAACCTCCATTTGAAATGTTACTTTTTTCTAAGATTAATTTTACTTATAGGTAAGCCCAAAGAGCTTTGTAATATAAAGAGTAGGCATTGGGATTTATACGCAAAACCAGACGCCTCAATTGGATTCAATAAGAAGCCATGGAATGTCGTCTTTTCTATAATTTAAGATTTTTTTGGGGGACTTTAAAAGCATTTTCATCACCAAAAACTTACGTTTTTATGTAATTTGCCTTTAGAAGTTTTTAGACAAAACAGATTGCAATGTTATTGGTTAACAAATTTGGCTACTTAATACCCAGGTTTTTTCAGACCTTGCTTACTGGCCTAAAATTCTGCTTTAGACTATTACAAAACACTTCTTAATGACTTCTAACAAATTTTGTTTAAAAATATGTAAGATTTTTCATACAAATGAGATGTGTAACAAAATCACATTTTTAGCTTTATTTCAGCAGGAGAGCATCCTATCCTATAACTGATAAAAAAACTTAAACTAATTTAATTGACAACTAGAGTTTTAATGTTGATTGTTTGAATTTAAAACCAATTCTGCAGCCAATGACGTCATAGAAAAGTGTGCAGAGAGTAATGCCCTATCTTCTACTATTCTAAAGTCTTTGGGCAACACCTTTTAAAGGCTCAATCAGTCTTTTAATGCTAAACTCAAGTAATCAACCATTTCAGAGTTGGTTACAACAATTTCTACCCTAAGTTTGAATATAAGCATAATAGAATCAACGTGACTACCTATGAGGGATATTATCTTCAAACTTACTTAGGTAAAGAACTTTTCCCATTTCCCATGGCCATGAGATAGATTTAAAGCTTTTCGCATAATTCTCTCATTTGAACACAATGGACCAACGTGCAGAAAAATTGAAATGGCTGTTGTGTGTGTATCTTAGAGTTGTTAATTGTTTTTAAAAGGACTGAAATAACAATCATATTTAGTGTTTCTTAAAATGATTGTTTCCTTAATAGAAAAAACAACGGCATTAACAAATGAACCATTCGATTTAAACTTTTGAAAGATGAAAAATGAAATACAAAAGGACAATACATACATTTTCTTCAAAAATCTATTGTTTTGAAAAAGTTTTGCTAAATAATATGAGTTTTTTAACATTTATTTAAAAAATTTTTTAGCAAGAAAAATTTACCGAATATTTTCTCACCAAGGTTTTTTGATTTATGGGTTTTCTGACCAAAAAAAGAAAAAAAATGTCGACAGCGAATGTACAGCTATCATCATGGAGTGTGGTTGTTGATGAAAGTTAACATTAACAATCATGAAAACAACTGTTTCCTTTTTTTGAATTACCTATGTTATTTGTAAAATTGTTTTTCAAAAAAGCGAAAAAGATCCATCCCTAACTAGTACATGTTTACATATTTAACATGTTCACTTATATATAGAGTGATTGTATTTCTATGGGGATTTAGTAGAATTGGCAAAGGAATTGAGTCTTTGCAACAAATCCCAATTTTCTAATACCTATACATCTACAACCAAATTATGTAAACTTTTGATATCTTAAACTTTGATTGTTTGATATAACAAAAGTCATAGTTTGAAATATCTGAAGTCTACAACATTGAAGTCAACTAGAGGCATAAGGAATGCAGTCTAGCGGACAAAGAATCTGAAATAAGGGGGCATTGGCAACTATAGCAATCCAAACCACTGTAGGTGTACAACAATGTACAGAATGGACCAGTCTATTAATTTTACTTAAGGGTGGTCTGTTGTGTATTATAAATTATAATTCTCTAACATTTTTAACTAGCTATCTTCATGAATTTAATGAGGGAGGAACACCTATTTAGGTAATTTTACTTTTTAATTTATTTTTGCAACTTTATACAGAAAAATATCAACTCCATCCTGTGTTTGATTATGCTAATTTTTCCTGGGGAAATCTGAATACCACGACCGGAAAATGGAACGGTGTTGTGGGAATGGTTGGTTATGACAAAGCTGATTTGGGAGTATGTTATATATCTTATACAAGAGACAGGTAAGATTTGGATAATTAAAGGAAACAGGAATTCAATGGAGGAGGGTTCGACCCGTTTCCACTCACCAAAAAACCCTCTTTGTTAAGATGCAGCATCTGAAAATCTACCCAAATTCTATGAAAGATTGTGTACAAATGTTGTATTCTCTTTAAAAAAAAAGCATTTTTTATTAGAGAATACAATATTATTGCTTAGAAATTTCATGCCATTTAATGATCCAAACAAATCAATTGATGAGTTAATGGGTGAGATATGCATACATTTATTCAAAATTACTCCTATTTATGATGAAACAAAAGACGACATTAGCTCACAACGTCTCTGAAAATATTTACCTTGGATGAAAGTGGAACGTTCGAAAATTGTGTTTATGTTACTAAAGCTTTAACGGAAGGTTGGGAAAGTTTTTTAAAACAGGGAATGCAAAAGTGTAACGGAGCTTACTTTTTTTTCAATAACATTTAGAAAAATAAAATTCTCTGGCCACAGTTGTCTTTGAAAAGTAAGACTAATACCCATTAACAGCTAATAGTCTGTTTAGTTTACCATGAAATTACCCAAATAAGTTAACAATCAATTAAAATCAAGAAATAGAAGTCAAAACAGGAAAAGTTATAAATCCCTGCCACTAAAACGGTGTTTTTATCTTAAGACTTGCACACACAAAAAAAGGTTTGAATACTTTCCAGAAATCTTTGAATTAAAAATCTTTTCAATTTCATAAGGGAAGTTGGGAACACCTTCTGAACTGCATAAATGTTTATGAGCACAAAAAAAATCTTAAATTCAGAGCTGCTTTTGTCACATATACTTCTCAAATAGAGGTTGAGGCTACACACTTTGTGTCAAAGGTAGGCAAATTCATAGATTAATATAATATGATTCATACTTGTTTGGAATTTAATAACTCAAAGGTTCTAGCCCATATTTCAAGTTTAAAACCCCTTTCACTTGATTAAAACTTTCTTAGAGCAATGAACTCTGAGCCCGCGATTTAAAACTTCAGCTCGAGCCGTAATTCCTTAAACCCAGCTTTAAACCCCAATCTAAAACCCAACTCTGACGACAGTTTGCGTCACATGATTGACAGCTGCAAGATCTTCTGCTCGACTTAAGGAGTAAGGCCTAATAAAAATAAAACCAACCTTGGTTGGTTTTAGTGGAGAATAAGGCTTAAAGTTGTGTCTTATAAGACGCAGCTTGAATTCGAAAGCTCAGCTCAAGCCATAAATAAGGCCCAACGACAGCTTAGACTTGAGCCGAATTTTCCCGATTTTTTTTATATAACGGGCTCTGAATGATGAACAATTGTACTTTTTTTGAGATCTTAAATTACAAAGCTGCATTTTTCTCTCTCTAATCCTTTCAAAACTTAATATTTACTGCTTTAGTTTCCAGGAATTAAGTCATATATGGATAATATAGTAAAGGTGAAACTGTTATTCTTTTTTATTTTTTTATTTTTTTTTTTAACTCGTACTAATCAATCATTTAAGTTTATATTATTTGATAAATAAGTAATTCTATCTAATTCATCAATGTGGATATTGCGTGTGTATGTAAATGTGAAATTTTAAATAAGTGTTAGATGTAAAATTTATAATACTCTCCTTGTCCATCTTTGTGTTTAATTTTTAATTGTTTCTCTTTATATCTGCAGCATTTTCTGAAATTATCAAACAATAATAAAAATGTTGGTGGATTTACTGATGTATGATGTCATATTTACCCCTAGGTTTTTGATGTATACACTTGGCTTGCAATTCTGGGAAGGTATTTCTACTTAGAAATGTTTTTCAAAATAATCATAAAAGTTATAATCTTAAATGATAATTTAGTTTGATTTTGGCAACCATTGTTCTTCTAGCGATCACCAAAGTATTAAAGGAACTAGGATTTAAACAGGTTGGACTTTAAAGGAACGCCTTCCAGTTAGAGAGGGGTATATCTTTTTTTAAATGGTACCCTTGACACTAGGGCTGGGCTCGTTCCTGGTGGAACGATCGTTCTTTCCCGAGAACGAATGGAACAATCAAGAACGATCCCTTCGTTCCGAAAAAAAACGAACGCTCAGAACGCGTTCTTAAAAATTTTGGAACTATTAGTAAAAAACGGAACGGAACAGAACAGGAATTGCTTGAAAAGAACGGTTAAAATTGTTAATGCGTTCTTATTTTCAAGAATGCGTTCTAGGTTGGGAACGCATTTTAAATCAGGAATGTGTTTCAAGTTTAGATTTTCTCTGTATGTATTGAATAAAATTAAATATTTTTTAAAAATCTACAAATTGTACACCCCTTTTTTAAGGTAACCCGGTTTTAGTAATCGTTCTATACTAAGAACGGAACAGGGGGATGGAAACGTTCTTTGACTAAGAACGGAACAAGAGGGATGGAACCGTTCTTTAAATAAGAACGCCAAGAACAAAACGGAACGGGAAGACCGTTCTTCTACTCAGAACGGAACGGAACGCAACGGAACGATACAACAAAAAAAGGAACGAGAACGGAACGATTTATCTGAAGGCCCTCGTTCTAGAACGGAACGGAACGATTTCAAAAAAGTCGGAACGTGCCCAGCTCTACTTGACACCTTCATCTAATCAATATATTGTGAAAGATACCAACAGTGATGTCAATTCTTATCATTTTTCCATTTATTTCTAAAGCAAGAATTGAGTTAATCAATTTTGTAAAGGGGCGTACCACAAATAAGAAAATAAACAATTTTCCAAAACAAAATACTTAATTAGACGAAAGAATATTGCTGTGAATCAGTGGAGGGTAATAAGAATTTACATCTGCAGTCCGTTTAAATGTTATAATTTACATCTTAGTTTGCATCACTTTTTCTTAAAATTATAATCCTATAAAGATTTTTTTCATTAATGGTTTATTCCACTTGTTTGCTAAATGGCCAAACTTGAGGCATTATTGATTGAAAACTATTTTACTGTCTATCAACGTTCATATTTGTTTTAATTAGCCAGATTGTGTGTTAACTCTATTGATGCCATTATCCTTGTTGAATGCTGAGGGTATGCCAGATTGTTTCCTATTTCGTAGGAAAAGAGGTAGAAATTTCTGTTAAGATGGTGATCTGAACATAATATATTTTTACAAAACTTTTTCCAGTATTCTCCGGAAGTTTTTTGCTGATGACATGGGCTTTAGCATGTACGTTATTAACATTTGCCTTTTCAAGTAATCTCAGGTAAATCTGACAATAAAAATCTGATGATGTTAAAAAGTTTATACAAAGGCATTGAGTCTTTTCAACAAACTTTGTTAGATCAAATAATCTAATTTTAAAATATAAAAGGTTAGCACCACCAAGTTGCAAAGAGATATGGATTAGAAAATATAAGTTTGTGGCAAAGACTAAGTTCTTTAATAACAAGATTCAAGCTAGAAGTGTTCACACTTTAATCCAATAAAAAAGTACAAAAAAAGGAAATTGTAATTTGTTTGTTCACATTAAAAAATACTGTTATATTTGTGCTCAGAAAGGGCAACATTTAAAGGTTATTAGAGTAAATGGCCCTCTGTTAACCTAAACTAATCATTAACATTCTGAAATTAACCTGAAGATGCACAGCACGTTGTATTTACTGTATTAAAAGAATGAGAGTATTAGTATATATTTTAGAATTAGGTAAGGTTACGACACTTTCTGGTCAGAGCGCTGCAGCTAGGGGGCCAAGGCCTTGGCTAAAACTAGGGGGCTAAGTTCTGCGACTATAACAAGCACTTTCTCTGTCTCATAAATTTTGAAGGGCAATGGGCACATTTTCCCTCAAATGACACAAATTTTGAAGAAGGATTCACGCCTTCATTTTTGGTGCTATTTTCTTGAGATTTTGCATGGTCAGAGAAGTGATTAACTCTAGTCAGGGATGTATTTTCAAAATGTAAAAATTAAATATGCAACATTATTTTCCCGCATTTTCCTATTTTTTTTTTTAAAAATATAGGTTTTCCTGATTTTAAGTACAAATTAGGCCTGTTTCGTGGTGGGTATTATTCTGCCTTGTATTTATGATGAATTAATTTTTTGTTTATTTTTCCTTCTTTTGTTTTTTCGCATTTTTTTCCTTGGAAATTTGATTTAATTTGGTTCCAGATTATAATTGTGATTAACTTTCTAACATATATATTTGTTCAGCAAGAGCACAAATTCAATCTTTAAAATCCTCATAGATTGTACATTTTTGAGGGATGATTATAAGAATCGGTTTTTAAAAATTCTACAGTAAACTAATCAGTTGTTTAATCCAAAACAAGTAATCAAATTCAGTTATTTGTTTGTCTCATTGTTCACAAACATTTTCTGTAGATTTCATGGAATTTTTATTGAAAAGGAGATATTTGAAGAATTTAAATAAGTCTGGAAACAAATTCATTAAGAATAAGAAATTCAATATAATGATATTAAAGAAATAATTGATTCTAACATTGATTTATCTAGAAAACTTTCATTGAAAAATATGTTCCTAAATATCCAATTATTTTACTTTAAAATTTTTGTTACATTTTTCGTCGTCGCTATTTAATAATTTTAATTAAATCAATTCTCAAAAAGTAACTACCCAAATGGATGATTTTGAACGTCGATTTTGTGCTAAAAATAGAGTAAATACACATCATTAAATCGTTTTATATGTTTCAAATAAACCCTAAATTTGTTTTCCACAAAACTACCATTCATTGTTGGTCACTCCCTTCAAAGAAATTATTATATCTGTCATCAAAAATAATGATTTTAGTTCAAAGATATTTTTACAAACATCAAACATTTGCAGACAATTATTTTCGTAAAACACTCTTTGCAATTTTGTATCTTGTGTCACTAATTATTTGAGATTTTGAATATAAACTTAAGGATTGCTTGGTATAATAATTGATGAATGAATATGACTTTTTTTTGAGATAATTGAATATATATTTTATTTTATTTAGTTATTAAAGATGAAAGTTGAACACACTAATATTTCAGATCAATTCTACTTGCTCCATCATATGATATCCCTGTTGATACCTCTGCTCAAATAGTTGAAAGAAGAATGGTCTGTGGTTTCAATTAAATAAATTAATAATTAATTGGACTGTAATATACCTTCAAGTAACCCTTTATGCACAAATGACAATACCTGATTGTTGGATATTGTTGTTTTTAATTAAAGTGTTAAATCTGATAATTCCTTGACGTTATATATAGCAATGAGCAATTGAGAACCCAAGTTTTAATATTTATAAAAGTTAATATACTTGATGAATTGAGTGTTGATATCTTGACATATCAAGAGTCCCTTTAAATTACGCTTTCAGTCCCTTCAATCTTTAATCTTTTCATTTTTGTTTAAACTTCATAAATTGCGTTATCAAATAATGATTGTTCTTTTGGTTTGGTTAGGTATGGTTTTTTTTATTCTTAATTCTAGTCATTAATTTTGGCTCCTGGAGAAAATTGGAACTATGAATACTTCAGCACGTCTTCTAATCTGGCACAAGTTAAAATGTTGGAAAATATTGTCTTTATCAAAGATGTGGTAAATTCATAAAGTTAAATATAAAACAATTCTAATTTGATAAGAAGGTATGCAGTAGAGGGTTTCTGTGTGCAAATAACTATTTATAGCACTGTTATTTTGGTTTGAAGTGTTAAAAAGTGTTTGGACAGAAATTTTCTCTTTATCAAGAAGATTCAAGCCTTTAAAGTTTGAAGTGTTAAAAAGTGTTTGGACAGAAATTTTCTCTTTATCAAGAAGATTCAAGCCTTCAAAAAGGCAAGAACCTTCGAAAGATAGAGAAAATTTAAGTACAAAAACTATATAGCAGGTCGTGCCAAAATAATAGTGTTATAGGTAGGTAATTTTATGAAACATTTGCGCACTTGTCTTATTTCAATGGCTATTTCTAGATCAAATAGGCTTTGAAAGCAGAAGTCAAAATATAAAGTTGATTTCAATTTTATTATCATTTCAATTGAAAAAAAAATATTTTGGAAATATCCTAAATTTTTGGGAGAAAAGCCTGGAATCAATTAAAACATTACAGCATGATGATTACATTATTTAATTTAACATAATGTATAGTTTGTAATATCTAAGGTCGACAACATTGGGTTGCAAAAATATATGGATTATAAAATCAGAGCAACGACTATATTTTGACCATATTTTGTTTAACATTTCTGAATCTACATCATAGATAAGTCGATTTTCAAAAATTTTGCATTAGTGAAAATCTTCAGTAACATTAACAACAATATATTGGTAGGAAGATTCAATGAGAGCTTCTTACCAGCAGAAAAGTCTAATTTTTCTTGGTCATGAGGTAAACAAATTCATTTCTGTTAAAAAAGGACATTAAAGTGAAAAAAATGGGTTATGATGTTTCCACACTTATTTGTTACAAACAAAATAACAACCAACCAAACAACCAAAAAGACAAGCAAAGTATATTTATATATATATTCTATAGATCAATATAATTTAGGAAGTTATCCTTGGTCTTACCAAAAATAATCCAGAATATCCTGAAAACAAGCCTTCCTTCTATTTTAGCAAGGTGATCACAGTTTTAATTTGAGATTTCTCTGACTATCTACCAATTTTCAAATCTTAAATCACTCATTAAAGTCTTCATGATCAAATTACTTTTAATCAGTGATTCAAGATTTGAGTCGGCGGCAGAGAGCTCAGGGACTTCTTAGATTCACTAGATATTGGTCCTGTGATCCAATGTAAAGATTTTAAACCGCATCTATAGTTATAACAAGGGGTTCAAATATTAATGGTTCACAGTGGCGCAACTAGGCCTTNCTAGTTGCGCCACTGATGGTTCAACTTGAAATTTTAATCAGTTTTTCGAGTTTTGAGCCAGAAATAGAGGTATATAGATTTTATATCCCCCCACCACCACCACCCCACTCATTCCCACATTTGCTGGAACCCTGTCAACTTTGAGTATGATTATACTGATACATGTGCATTTTGATTAATAATCCGCCATAGAGGTCACTGAGTTTGTAGAAAGCTGAGTAAAAACATGATTTTGTTAGCTTTCTCTTACAGGGTTCCTACTGATACTGAACACATGTATGGTAGAAACAGCAGGGTGGTATTGTGCAAAATGATTTTTTCTGAAAAAATTGCATTTTCTTAAAAATAAAGACTGTGCTTAAGAAAAGGGTACTTTGAGAAAATGCCCCATAATGTTCGTATTTTCTTTTCAGTTCGATTTGAGTCCTCTTTTTACTTTCAAACCGCATTTTCAAAATATTTCATGTTTTTTGAGGAATAAGCATTAAAAATATTAGATTGAAGAATGCAATTTTCATACAACAGTTGTGCTTATCCCTGAACACATTTCTCAGGCTGCAGAATAATGATCAACTGTTTTCTAAAGGCTAGCTAGGCCCAGGCACTACAACTGTGCACAAACCTTATGTATACAAGGAGATTCTATTGCTTTATCCATGGATGTTGTAGCTTTATATCCTAATGTTCCCTGGGAAGAAGGACTGGTTGCTCTTCAAGCTGCAGGAGAAAGGAGATCAGATAAATCAGTATGGACAGACTTCCTCATCAGATTAATGACAGTTGTCCTGGGTTCTAATATTTTTGAATTTAGAGACAAGCTGTATTTACAGAGGGAGGGAACAGCTATTGGGACCAGGGCAGCTCCCACATTTGCAAACCTATTTATGGGGTGGTGGGAGAAAAAGATGTAGCAAGAATGGACTTGCACTCCATTAGAGTTTTATAGAAGATTTATTGATGACTTGTTTTTTCTCTGGCTTGGATCTAGAGAGGAGTTGGAAAAGTTCATCATCTATGTAAACTCTATTTTTCCAAACCTCAAGTTGACAGCTGAATATAGTTATGAAACCAGGTCTGTGAATTATTTAGACATGAAGATATTTATTGATGACCAAGGTTATATAAATGTTCAGATCTGTACAAGAAGGAAAACAAGAAGAATAACTATCTTCTTCCTTCCAGCTGTCATCCTAACCATATAACTAAGAATATACCGTTCTCACTGGGGTACAGAGCACTCAGAATCTGCTGGAATGAAGAGTTATTAGAGAAAAGACTAAAAAAACCGGAAGAAGATCTGGTTGAGAGAGGATACAGGAGAAGATCCATTAAATCTTCCTTCATGGATGTGAGGAAGATAAAAAGAGAGCAGGCACTGAAGAAGGATGTGAGTAGCAGGGTAGAGAATGATAGAACCAGGTGTATTGTCAATTATGACCCTAGACTGCCTAGGTTCTCTGAAACCCTAAGATCATCCTGGAAGATTCTAATAGAAGATCCAGTAATGAAGAAAATCTACCCCTCTCCTCCTATGGCATGCTTTACCAGAGAGTGGAGAATTTGAAGGATCTCTTGGTTAAGTCTAAACTTCCAAGTAGACAGAGATTCACAAGGGAAAAAAGAGATAAGGTTGGGGTTAAACCCTGTAATAAATCTCGATGCCCTGTATGTGAACAGATGGGAAAGAATATTGTTGAAGAGATGATAATCTCTGCTACTGGAGAAAAGATCAGGATTAAGGATAAGGTGACCTGCTCCTCCTTAAATATTATATACATGATTACATGTAGGAGAGGAGGCCGAGTTTGTCCTCCCCATCCTCAATATATAGGAGAGACAGGGATGGAGGCTGAAGAAAGGCTGAGGGGTGACAGAGGCACCATTACACAGCTAGGTGTTCACTTTCGTGCCCCTGGGCACTCCTATGCAGATTTATTCTTCATTCCCATAGAGAAGATCAGGTCAAGTGATAGCATTGTCAGGAAGGTCAGGGAGACATACTACATCTAGAAATTCAACTCAGTGAGGTCAGGACTGAACAAGAAAACATAATGCTAATTGCAAACTTTAAAAAAAAAATAATTTGTTTATTTTAAATTCTATGTATATGTATCACCAACAGTACCTTGTAGTGTTTATCGAATTCATGTATTTGACTGTTATGCCGATGAATTCTACCCCTTCAGTTTCTAATTTTTCTTTTAAGTTTTATGTGTTTTGACAATATTAATTTTGAAGAATTCCTTATTGTAAAGGTTACATAAAAAGATTTTTTTATTTTTGTTCTCTCCTTTGTTTATTTCAGTTGCTTTGTTTGTATAATTTATTTTTTTATTTTTTTTTGCTTATATCTGTTATATTATAGGACGAACTCCTGATGATGCCAAAGTTTTTTGCAAAATATATTGAGAAGTAAATGATATAATTCTAGTGCTAGAGAGTAGGGTTGGGAGTTGTTTAAAAATGATCTAAAGGAGATTCTAGTGCCTCAAATGTTATCAAATTCTACATCTAACTGATTTTCGCTTGTACTCAAGTATACACCTATACTCAATCTACTTTACCTCTATTAATATCGAGCTCACAATTGATCAGACAATGCTTTGTGAATTGATCTGGAATTTGCCATCTTTGAATGAAGGGTTTCGTGAAACTACACTTAATTTGTTCATTTGATTTGTTATATACTTTCTTAAGGAACTAATACGCCCATATTACTATGGTTGGATTGTTGAAAAAAATTCAAAATGGATGGCTCATATTAATCGTCATATCTTGCTAGGTCAACAGGTATAGGAGTAATTTGTAAATGTATTATTTTAACCATTTTTAAGCCGCCTTATAAAAAATGTAATGTTAAACCATTTTAAAGATCTTTAAATGTAAAAAGGTTACTTGATATACAGCTGAAGTTACAAAGTTACGCAATGAACAATTTATATTTATGCTTACACATTTTGAATTACTGATAATGATTATTAGTAAACTGAAATATTTCACTTCTGTATTTAAATATAACCTAATACATCTTAGGCTGGCTTTAATATAAAAATATCCAGAAAACAAAAAAGAAGTACTTTTGAAGAAATTAGAACAGATACGGTAAACAATAATTTCCTTTTTAAATGTTTAAAACAACATAAAAGATCCTACTCTTTCCTGGCAATCAACATGCTGACATTCTCTTTCTAAATCCATAGAACTCTTCATACATATAATATTTACATGTCTAGAATATAATTTAACAGGACTAAATAAATTTTTAAGGATTTTTAGGTCCGGCTGAATTTCGAACATATGGCAGCCGCATATATTCTACTGGGGGTTGGACTTGGAATTTCTTCAATAGGAAAAATGGATTCTTTAAAATTTTCTGCAATTTTTTATCTTTTTGAAACTTTTTCTTATTCAGTTTTTTAATCTTAATTTTCCCCATTTATCCATTTTTACGTTACAGCTTTTGGACTAGAAATATTTAAACAAAAGAAGAAAAATAAATTGTAATTAAAATTAGAAATAAAATGACAAATTTGAATTGCTTTTTTGGGTAAAATAAGATTCTAAACGACAATTTGTTGCCCATTAAATCTTTTTAATTTGTGTTAGAAAGCAAAAATAATCTTTTAGTTTTTGAGCAAAAAATAGAAGTTCTGATTTTAATATGGTTCTGACTAGTTCTAAAATGATTTATATTTATGCCCTAAAATACCCATCATTAACAGTGATGCAAAATATATTGAACTTTAGAAAAATCTTAAAGGGACTGAAAGTCTAATTTCAAGAAATTCTTCATTTAAAGATGGCAATGCCCGATTTATGACGTAACCAGGTCCAAACATTGCATGAAAGTTCCTTTGAGCAGGTCCTTTCAAGAATTAGGGTTTTGTACAAAACTGCATATCAATTCGAAATAAATAAATTTGTTTGTACAAAATTATGCATGAATACGAAATCTAAGTCAGAATTTTTTCATGATATTGTGCATGTTCATTTTAGCATGGAATTTTGCAATGCCCATGAATTCAAAAATGGAAATTTTTGTACATGAAAACGAAATTAAGTAATATTTTTTGCATGCCATATAGCCTTTCCGGCAATTTGGAAACACATATTTTTCTAAGGAAACCTTGTAACGTGGTCTGATTTGTTTACTGGTCAAAAATGCTACAATTTGAAATCTCCAATTTCAAATCATCTTATTCAATTTTCGATGCTTCTCATGCAGCAACCCCCCCCCCCCCCCCTAACCTGATAAAAATCTTACTCCTTATCTCATGTAGAAATAGTAGTTCAGGTTCTATAAGCTGAGGGTCAAATTGGCTTATCTTCAAAATTCTTCAAGCATTCATATTTTTGCATTAGTATAAAAATTATTTTAGTAAACAATAGTAAAAATATGGTATTAAAAGTTCAAGTTATCAATATTTGAAGATATGGTAATTTTTGTATATAGGGTTAGTTTGTGCAAGTAACTTTGATAGCAAGACAATGATTGAAAATATCAGGTGTTAACAACAAGAAATTGTTATCTAATTTATACTTATCTAGACAAGCTTTTAAGGATACCCTGAATATGGCATTGCCAATTTAGATTTGAAATTAGGAATACAGTTCCTTAAACAAATATAGTATTTTGAATTACAGCTTGGTTTACTTGAAATGAGATTTTATATAACAGGTTCTTGTTTGCATGCAGTCATCTGGCATTAATTATCTATAGGTTTATGTATAGAAAATTCCGAGAATAATTTATACAGGGCGCATAAAATGGCTCATTTAAAGAAAGCAAACCACGGAAAAACAGCAATGGTCACTAACTCCAAGAATGAAATTGCTGCCCTAGATTCTATTCTCAAAAACCTGTCCGACCTAGGACTTGGTTCTGAGGCTGAAATAACACCTGAATCTTCTAATTTTGGCACAATTCTAAACCATCCAAATACAATTGAATTTGTGGTTATACCGAGAAAGGAGATATCAGAGCTCAAACAGCAGAAGCAAGAAGAGAAGGAGATAAAAAACTAGCTTTGGAAATGCAAGGATGACCTAGATGAAAAATGGCAGAGACAGCTTAAAGGAAATCTCATCCTATCCTGTCAAAAACCAAAACCCAGGATTCAATCCATCATCAAAACTGATGATCAGCTCGGTAACAACTCCATCTCTGATCACTGTATAGAGCTAGTAAAACAGAAATACAATGTAGACCTGAAGGAGATATTCAAGCATGTCATAGGCTCCCAAATGGATCGGTACTGCTCAAGATATAGCAAAGAGGCCCAACTTCAGCCTGGAATAGACTTTTGGCTGGAATCAAGACTGGTGGAAACAAGGAATTCAAGCTGTTTTTAAATTTCCAGATGACTTATAGAAAAAGTTCATTACTCTATGAACTGAGACAGCTAAAGAAACAAGGAAACCTCTACAAGCATGGGTCTGACAAGATAGGGAACATCTGGATTCAAGCTAAAGAGAGAGATCACAAAAAGAGAGTGATCCAACATTACAGACGGGGGAAATCTATCCTACAGTAACCAAAGATGAGCTCATGAAACTGCTTGGAAATAATCAATAATACATGTTCCAATGTCACAATCAAAACATTTAGTTTATCTCATAGAAACGTTTTAAATTTCTAAATCCTGTTTCATTCAAAACACTAATTTAAGAATGCAATTTTAACAAAGTCTGTTTTCTTTCTTTAATACAAGATAAAATCAGCACCCTGTATATCCTAAATTCTTTATTCTTAATTTGTGAAGCAAATATGCTAATTTATACCTCCCAACCCCCTTCCTCACATCCCCCTTTCCTCGCGCCCCCCCCCCCTTTCTGTCAAGTCCCGCATCATTCCCAGTTTTTATTCTTCCTATTCCTTCTCAATTACTCAGGTTTGGTTGGTAAAGGGGGGGGGGGCGGGGATAACATAGGCTCTTGATTTCCCATAGTCATCTACAGAGGATGATGAAAATAGTTTGAAAGATAGTAAATGTAGATATTATGAAACTTTAGAATTTACAAATGTTTTCAAAGAAAATTATGATTTTGCAGCTATTTCACTAAAAATAAGAAGTTTACCAGGAAAATGGGACAATTTTTTGGACTTTTTACTAGATCTTAATCAAGGTGAATTGAAATTTGATATAATTTGTATGCAAAAAGTTTGGTCTATACCTAAATATTTCAAGACAAATATACCTGGATATAAGCCTATAGTTTACAAACTGTGCAATCAAAGGGTTAATTTGAGTTCAATTATAGGGGGAGGGGTAGCCTGCTGGGTAAAAAATTAACATGATTTTGAGCTGTTAGAAAATATATCTGTCTTTGAGGAAAGAGTTTTTAATCTATCTTCATAAAAGTCAAAGTTTCTTCACAATTAGAGATCCCCTTTTCAGTTTTTGAAATAATGTGGAATAAATATTTAGAATGTGTGCACATGTCTTGCATAGACAAAACACAATAATGGTGAATTTGGAGTTTAGATGAAAGGAAAACCTTGCATCATGCAAGGTTTTTACGATATAGTTTTTTGCTAGCTAGTTGGTCAAGAGTATAGACACAGATCTGAGCTAAAGAGGAAAGCCAGCACTTCTTTGAGTTTTGAAAAAGAAATCCTTTTTTCCAACATTGCTCTCCCAGCAAGACAAGACAAGGAAAATAAGATGACAAGAAGAAAAAAAGAAAATTTACCCAAAAATTTAAAAATTCATTATAATTGTTAAAATTAAAATAAAAAATTAAAAAAATGTAAGAAACTTAAGTAATTGGAGAATATAAAGAAACCAAATAAAAAAATAATGGTAGCTTCAAAACTTCCCAACCCCATTAATGAAACCAATAAATCTCAAAGCAGCTAAACCGCGCGATTATGTAGTGATTTTTTGTGTGACGTAACATGATCCCAGGGAATTAAGGTTTATGGTTGATTAGAATTGAAATAAATGCCCTAAAATAATTTTGAATATTTAAAATCCACCAAAATAAACAATAAAAGAGCAACAATTAAAACTTAAAATAGAAGCCTTTGTTCACCCTTCGTTAACAATCATGAACAATGACTCTTCCTTAACGATCGTTAACAACAACCCTTCGTTAACGATCGTTAAGAATGACCCCTTTATTAAGGATTGTTAACAAAGAGAGGAAACAGACCTGAAGGGCATCTGTACTTATCATTGAGTAGTTTTTAAGAAAATATCAAGAAGTTTTAACTCCCCCACAACTGTTAAACTTCATGTAAGACAACATTCAATAAAGTTGCATGTAATTTTTTTTATAAAGATTGTCGTTTTGTTAATGGTTGTTAATGACACCCCTTTGTTAACGATTGTTAACAACTACCCTTTGTTAATGATCGTTAACGAGGACCCTTTGTAAACAAGGACCCTTCGTTAACGATCGTCAACATAATTTTCAATAAAATTTTTTTTCGAAAACCATAGTTTTTTAAAAAACAATCGTATAAAAAACGGTCGCAAAAAGTTTTAATAAAAACGATCGTTTTCAAAAACGATCATTACTTGTTTTCTAAAAGTTCAAAAATAGTGGGTCTTTTTAAAAAACGATCGTTTTTGAAAACGAAACAAAACTGATTGTTTAAAGATCGCTTACAGAAACGATTAACAACCCTACTTACAATACCAATATCAAAAAGTAAAATTGAACGCAAATATTTTCATAAAGAGTACAATAAAAGTTTATAGGAAAATCTTTGACTGTTGTATCCTATAAATGGGAGATATTAGAGTAACTATATTTATAAAGTTTTTTTAATTTGTATTAGGAAAAAAGTAGAAAGTGTTTTGAGGATGTTATATATTTGAAGTCTTTACATTAATAAACTGAACAGTTTCATATAAAGTACAATCATCTATGCACTTTCCAGTATATTGTAATTTATTCTTGTAGTTTGGAATATAATGATTTTTTACAACTACTTTACAACTACTTTACAACTACTTTACAACTACTTTACAACTACTTTACAACTACTTTACAACTACTATACAAATACTTTACACCTACTTTACAACTTCTTTACAACTACTTTACAACTACTTTACAACTTCTTTACAACTACTTTACAACTACTTTACAACTACTTTACAACTACTATGCAAATACTTTACACCTACTTTACAACTTCTTTACAACTACTGTACAACTACTTTAAGTTAAAGTTTACGTTAAAGACAAATGTTGCCTGTATTTATTGGTAAAACTTGTCAAGGGAACCGGGCTGAATTAACAATGTTTAAATTTCCCGAAAATTAGATTTACACAATTTATTTTTTTTTTCAGATGAAAATGCTCTTCTTTTTTTAGTAAAAAATTTGCATGAGGGTTGTTTTTTATTACATTGACCCAAGAGATGTTAAGAAACTTTACGTGCCGCTGTTGGGGAAATCATTAGGAGTTTAGTT